CTCACCCTTGCAAATTTTCATATTGTCTGCATCTTTAAGTTAGTATACTAACAGCGCATTAGAGAGGCAAGATGAAGAGTAAATCTGTTCAGTGTTACATTTTCTTTAGTCTATAAACTGGACCAATGTGCTCAAAGAACCTAGTAGAGTGTGTGTGCATTTATTTCTTTTTAAAAAATTGAAGTGAATGCACCTTCTCCTATTCATTTGCAATCCATGTATATTAGAAACAAACAATGAATGGGCAAACCAGCACTGGGGAAAATCATAACGCCATGTGGAAGAAAAACTTCAGAGCTCTAAACAGCAGAGCTATAAGCAGAGTCTCCACTGGGATCACTGAAGAAAAACGGCAAATTAGAGGGTTAAAAGGGAGAAATGAATTGAATATGACAACAATGAAAATTAAACGTCAGGCTGTCAGAAGCGAAACGGCAAATGGAATGATTTTCTTTTCAATTGTACATCTCTATAATCTAGAGCTTATTGGTCCTAGTTCAGAAAAAGCCATTAGCACTTAAGTCCTATTGAAACATATCAAAGGGAACATTAGTCACAACTAACTGAAGTCCGATTGATTTACACAGCATGATCAATTTGAGAGATTGTTTAGTTGGAACATTAGATTTTGCTTTGTTTGAATTTCATTAAAATTGTGTTGTATGCTTTTATGATTTTATGTAGGCTGCTTTGTGAAGTGTTTTTGCCTTGAAAACCGGCTTACAACTGAATAATGAATAAACGGATGTGATCCAAGCATAAGTAACTTTCCATTTTCTTTACAATATCCATGCCATCTCTTTGGCTATATACGCACCATACATTTAAAGCACCCCCTCAAGAATCCTGGGAATTGTAGTTTGTTAAGGCTGGCAGGAACAGTGGGGGCAAACTACAGTTCCCATGATTCTTTCGTGGTGTGCTTCAAATACATGGCGCGTACAAAACCTATAAGGTTTGTTGAAGGAATGAATTTTTAACTCAATTAACGGTACAGTACAAATCACAAATTTGAACTCTTGCCCAATCATGAAGCTCCCATCTGGACTGGGCAACACACTGCAAACGTCTGGGGTTAGTGATATGCAGAAAACCTTTCCTGAACACTTGGGATTTAGATGTGGAAGACATTGAATAAGTTGATAGCAATGTAACCTTTTATTTTGATCTACTACTTCAGGGATAGCTCTTTCAAATGAATAATAAAATGGACTGCTTCTGGGTCTAAGCAATTAGACTTAGCTTGCAAACTTGCTTTTAACCACCTGGAATAATTTCGCTCATTTATTTTCATTACAATTGGCCTTTGGAATGTTTTGATTACACATTTCAATTGAGATGCTTAATTATGGAGAGTTGTTTTGATTGGTTCTTTTAAAATGTGACATTTAAAGGATGGAACAAACTCCTTCAGAATGGCAACAGAACAGTTTGTGAGTCACCCACCAAACCTCATGCAGCTCACCAGGGTGGCCTGTCAATTACTGGATACACCAAATGACCAGCAAAAACAGGAACTGCAAGGATAGGGCTGCATCTAGTCTATTCATCAGACAAATTAATTGAAAGCCTTTTTAGTAATTAAAAAGTGGTCTTAATTAATTGGGTAACAGTTTTTTTTTAAAAAATGGGGGGAATGAGAAAAATGTTTTTTAAAAAATAGAGGTGGCAAGTGACATCTTAGGAGAAACATGTCCCTTTTTTCTTATACAGAAAATAAAATTCCCTTAGGGCTCAGATTCATGGCATGCAGTCACAAGGAGTTGTGATCCAGTACTGGTGACCCAATTTTGTGGCACCCATTCCTGTTGAACGTCTTGTATTTAACTGAATTCTATTTTATTCCAGCAGACTTTTAATCAAATTCTGGTTTTATAGTTTTAACTCATTTTCAGTTTTGCTAAACTATACCGGGTCTCCTGCACACTGCTTAGAAATGCCCCTGATTATATATATATATCTATATATATATGGGCTGAAATAAAGATGAAATGAAATACATAACATGGTACCCACTCTCTAAAAACAAAGAATGATCTCCCTTCCTTAGTGGCTTTCATCGTTTCTCTGGAAATGCCATCCTTTGTCTCCCCTCATTTTACAGACATCCCAACAACATTGTTGTCATTCCAATGCACCCTCCATGTTCATAGAATCATAAAGTTGGAAGGTACCCGGGGGTGGGGGGCATCTGGTCCAACCCCCCTATACTTTTCTATACCTGAGTTATATTTTTGTGTAACATACAGGGTGTCTAGTGTAATCAGGCAAAGCACTGTTTGAGCTCTTAAGGGCTTTAAGTTAAACACATCCTGTGAGCAAATTCAGCCACTGAGTGGCTTCTTGATTAGTGTGTGGAATCAAAGAAGTGGCAAGCAGGAAAAGGTTAAACACAGAGAAACACCACATCTCTGCTTCACACACACACCCCCGGAGAATTTTTCCCACTTGGGAAAGGCAGGTGCTCATTTTTTGTTGCATACATTTGTGTGCAATGGGCAGTTAAGCCCTGATAACTATGGAGCTCTCCTCCTCTCTACCCTGTCTGGAGCCAGCCATGACCAATCACTTTGTCCACATAGGCTGAAAACTGGTCTTTGTGACACTAAACCATGGTGCATGAGCCTAAACAAACTCTGGTAGGTTTCAGAAGAAGCCAACTTCTAATCATGAGCTATTGGTGCTGGCTTGTTAACCAGAGTTTGTTCTAAACCAGGATCCCTAGTTTGAACATAACACCAAGTTGGGATTCTTCTAAAGTGAAGCTATGCTGTGCCAAAATCCTCCCAGTCACACAGTGGGAGGAGAGCAGGAAGGAGTATGCAATCCCAAGTCCCTCATAGTTTAATGCTAAACTATGGTTATGCCAAACTATGGTTTAGCACTGTGTGTGAGCATGACCATTATTGCTTACCCCGTGGAGGGAAACAAGGAAGAGCCACTAATTAGTGTGCACATTATGGGATGCTAGCACATGTTCATCACACACTAACAGTCAAAGCTAGAAAGTACTAAAATAATTTAATAAAAAGCTTCTAAGCCTCTTTGTCACTATGCAATCTAAATTGTCATGTCTAGGAGAATTATGGATGTCGGCTTTCTATTATCTAACAAAACTCAGAAATAAAGTTCACTTTATAAAGCACAAAAATACTTTGATGTCTCATTCATAATGTAAGGCTCCCCTTCCCTCCTTTTTGGAGCTGAAAAATCACAAGTGGATTAAGGATGTAAACCAAATGATTGCTAATAAAACCTTTATATCACCGAACTATGAACAAAACTTCACTTTAATGGCATGGCTTTAAAATTTATTGCCGCATAGTTATGCAAGATGTTAATGGTCTTATTTTTCACATCTCTTTAAAAAAAAAATGCTGAAGGCCATAAAATACAATTTTATGACAAAGCAAGTTGGGGCTTTTTAAGGCCAGCAAGCTCTTGCCTATAAATTCTCGTTCTCTAAAGTCTGCCTCCCCTCATCTTTAGATATATACAGCAAACAGTAATAACTTAATGGTTTGTTAAACATAAGAATATAATAAAGCAAGTATAAGAATGGGCAGACTGAAATACAGTTGTTCTCTGCTTCCATAAATGAGCACAATAATCATTTTGAAGCAGCTACTATATTAAAAAAGACAGTGATATGTGGGTCTTCTGATCCGGAGACTGTTGCCTGCAGCAAGATCCGAACACGCTAATAATGTATGTGAGCATCTCCTGCACTGAATAGATAGTGGTTGCAATTGTCTTTGAAGGTGAGGCATATGGCTTAGAAAAAGATCCAAAGGCCAGACAGAGAAGCCTGCATTTGACCCTTAGAGCTGAGGTTCCCCTCTCCTGTGTTATGGATGTTTATACTCTCCGACTCTCTAATTTCCTGTTTCTTTCCCTTAGCCACATTTTGATGCGATGTCTCAAGTGGCCAGCCATAGCTAATGACTTGCCTTTAAACTGTATTTTGAAACCATGGTTTGAATTGGGTGGGATCAAACAGTAACAGGGAGTTTGTTTTTATATATTTCATAAAAATTATAATGCTTGATTGTTTGTTTGCTTTTTAAAAAACAAAAAACCTCCTCATACCGGCTTACATAACAATAAAACAATAGTTGCCAATTGGGATGTGGGATGCGATGACAAAATATGGTTAGAGAAAACTGGGGGGGGGGGGGCCTCATGCGCGAGAAAGGAGGAATGGTGAGTTTACCACATTTTTGCGAGCTTCAAGGCACTGTTGGAAAAATCAGGTTTGCGATATTTCAACTGTGCCAATAAAGCATATTTACATCCTATTGATTTTGATCCAGATTTACCTATCCGCTAGATTGGTCATGTTAACTTAAGCTCATTCTTTTGCACTTTTTAAAGGATAGGCTTTCAGATTAATAGCGCCAACTCAAATACTGCACTTGTGTTATGGACAACTGCAATTACAGTCTTCTCCAGTCACGTGTTACTTTAGCGTATGCATATTACTATCACTGAATGTGACAATATACATGTAGCTGCTGCTGAAAATGGAAGCCTAGTAGATATTGTATTGGAGGGGAGCAGCATTGCTTCTTCCGTTTACAAAAATATAGCAAGTCCAGCATTCAGAAAACAGTATATTCCCCCAACAGAAGCACAACCTTGAGAGTAGACATGCAGACTGCATGTAAAAAGATTAGTAACCAATGAGCATTTATTGTGCATGAAAGCAATTTTATGGAAAGAGTGGCTCCACCTTGCATGTTTTGGCAGGGTTTATAAAAGAATGTTTATTGCCAGCACTGAGGTGAGTTACACCTCAAACGACATAAAAATGCAAATACGTATCAACAGGTCGGATTCCGAAACCTATGCTGAACCAAAGTTATATACATGTATAGCAGTGTTCTAACTCCTGTAGTGATTTGAGTTAAGCTTTACAAAAGCTGTCCAGCAGTCTGTACTTAAGTATTTACAGCAGGTATATTTTAAAAAATAAAATAAAAAAATTCCATAAGTAGGTTTCATTTATTTTTGTATATAAAATTCCCAAACTTTTGCATAATCCCTCGCAACTTGTTTTCATTGGGGTGCAATGGGTGGTAGACACCAGGGTTGTAATTCGCCACCTGGTTGCTCCTTCCATAATTATTCCTAGAGGCCTTGCTATTTGTCTCCGGATAGTGAGCGCTGTTTTTCTGGGTGCTGCTTGCTTGATGAGTTCCTGTTGGCTGAGCAGAGCTTTCCACTTTGCAAAATGGCTCAAAGCGACTGTAAATACGCCTATCGCTCAAGCGAGGTCTTATTAGCTCATCGTTTGGCTTGGTGCTCGATAGACGAGGCGCCGCTGCACTGACCCTGTGCGGAGGAATAGCGGCAGCAGTTGGTGGGGGGACCCGATCCCGGCCTGCATTTGCACGCAGCTCCCTGACATCCTGGTACTGAATTTGCTCGGTGTTGAATCTGGGAGCAGATGGGTCGCCTGGAGGTACTTCCAACAGCATATTTTCTATTGGTTTCACAACAGGCCCCCTTTTCATGTTTTCTTCTGATGGAGGTTTCAGAGATTTTTGAGACTTTGGTGATTTTGGAGACTTGGGGGACTTGGGAGATTTTGGAGATTTGGGGGACTTTGGGCTGACAGTAATGTCCTCTTTACTCTTATGTAGGCTCCCCTGTGAATTAGATGAGGAGTTTCTTTTTTTCCTGGGAGAACATTCCACCTTTATTTCCGCCACTTTGGGTCTTTGATTTTCTTCACCTTCTGACACCAGAGTGTCAGAACTGCTACACATTCTGTAAAAAGCAGGCGCTTTGTTTTTGGACAGGCTCTCTTTCTTCTCCGGTGTGAGGTTCAGCAACGACCTCAGTTTCTGCGACCCCTTCTTCAGGAAACTTGGGGAATTCTTGTTCTCTTTCTTCGGCGAGGCATCTTTCCCAGGGTCATCTTTGCTCGATTCAGCTAGTGCAGCCACAGAAATGGACTTCGGGGTGGTGGGAGACCTGGCCTGTTCACTTTTCAGCTTATTACTGTCAGGTGATAGATGATTGGCAACATCGTACAAGCTTTTAGAGTTTTGTAGGTCCTCCTCTAGCGGTGGCTTTAGAGCAGCCGGTTGTCTAAGTCTATTCCTATTTAGTGTGCTGTAGACGTAGCTGGCTGCATCTTTATTATTCCCAAGATCCAAAGCAGATTTTGAATTGTCAAACATTGGAAAACTTCGCCTTTTCAGTATGCTTTCATTCTTGAGAAATTCTACTGGTCTGCTTGTGCTCAGAGTTGAATATAGGTAGGTAGGCTTCTCTTGACTAACTGGTGGAGTTACACTAGGTTTCTTATCTTCTGAAATCGGCAGGTTGTTGTTTTTGACTACCTCAGGTTCCAGTGGGACGTGTGTGCTTGGTTCTGCCTCAATGTCATCAGCTCCATCTTCTGGCTTGGGAACATGGTTGGGCGTTCCTTTGGGCGTCACACTGCCATCTGAACCAATGATAGTCGAATTAGAAGAACTGGCACAGCTGTTTACTTCTTTCTGCTCTGGCAAAGTTGGCTTAAAGACAAAGGAGGAGCGCAGGCGAGAGTGAGCGTAAAGGGCATGGGCCTTGATATTTTCCGCTGCATCAAAGCCCTCACACCTATCACCTATCCCTGAGCCATTTGAGTCTGCTGGAAAATCCGACTGGTCATTTAAATACGATTCAATGCGCCAGTTGCGCAGGAAAGATTTCGTGGTACGTTCAAGGGTCGGCATTCTCTGCTGTAGGTAGCGGATGTGACTGTCTGTTCCATTGAAAGATCTCCGTACAATTGAGTTCCTGTCTGCAATATTCAGCTTTGGCTGTGGAAGCCGGTCAACCAGACTCTGTTGAGGCACATTGAGGTTTTTGTAACTTCCGTGCAACGAAGATACAACGCTGAGACTGTCAGATGGCACTTGCCAACCGTGAGGTTGATTATTTGCCCGGTTCATTGCCCTGTTGAGCATCATGTATGGAGTCCTTTCTGGTTTCTCCCCTGCATAGCTATGCCTTTTCCAATGTTCATTTACATCGTTGGGTTGGTACTGCTGGATTCTACCCTGCATATGAAAACCTGGAGCAAACTGTGGTTTCTGAAAGATGTGGTTTCTAGGAGTGAATGTGTCATTGTCATTTATTCCATATCTGCCTTGTTTCTTCAGAAAGCTGGTGTCTAAGTTGTGGGTTTTGTTGGCCCTCCCGAAAGGGTTACGCAGGCTAGAAGCTGAAGCTAAGGAAGACTGTGAATGCTGGTAGGCATCATTCTCCCAGAGTGCTCGGCGGCTATTAATTCTAACTAATTCTGGAGCAAATGAGCTGGGAACAGAAGAACGGGCGTACAGTGTCCTAAACTCTTCATCAAAAGATTCAACCAGTTGTCCTGTGATAACCTGGACCATGCTGAGGTTTGCTTTCTCAAAGGACCACATAAAGCTGAAAGATGAAGAAATTACAATTAGTAATCCAAACCAGGAACAGGCGAACACTTGTTATCTTGTGGTCAAGTTACATAGTGATAGGTTTCTGTATAAGAAACGAAATCTGTTCTCCTCAGAAATGTGCACAGGGATCATATGATCAATCAGATTTTTTTTAGTGATGAGTCACTGATGATTAAAGCTGGAGAAGCATATTGAGAATGATACCTATTTTTACCAACACAAGCTATAAGTAGAGGTAGGTAGCACCTGCCATCATCTTTGACAACTGGCCACTCTGGCTAAGGCTTAAGGGAGGTGAAGTCCAAAACATTTGAAGGTGGTCATGTTGGGGAAGGAAGACACACACACACACACACACACACACACACACACACACTGTTAGCTAATAGCAGACATGGAACCACTTTTTCACTAGTGGTGTGTGTGTGTGTGTGTGTGTGTGTAACACGTGTTGACAATTGTAAGCATTATATCTTGCAGACGTGTGTCTTTCTGCTTGATAAGGAGCACCACACAGGAGGCAAAAGCCCTAAACTGAGGCTTATGAAGTAGCTCCTCAAATAACTCAATGAAAAGTTTCTTCAAGGAGAGTCCCACTAGCCAAACACAATCCCTGATAAATTGAGAGAAGCTGAAATGAATTTCAGACACAATATCATCATGAGTAAATAATTTCATGAATGGAAAAAAAATAATTTTATATCACACAGTTAACCAGAATAGTATTTTATATTTGTATACTTACTAGTGTACCATAAAGTGAAACCATGCAAATATATTTTACATTAATTTTCATAGTTATTTGCCATGAGCCTGTAGGATAGGTATTTACAGATATCAACACCACCTTACTAATATTTTCACATAGCCATGCTGCTCAAACATAGCAGTTCTGACTATCATGTTTTAAAATATTGTATGTTTTGCTGGGATGTTTCTAACCAAAGACAATCCCTTGCATTCACATAATTTAACAAATACATATATTGGTCAACCACTTCTAGAAACAACTTATTTAGAAAACACAACCCTGGAAATCACTGCTTTGCCAGAAATCTTCAGTAAAGTATGCATTGCATCCACAAATGGTCATATGTTTACAATCCATCTTATGCCAAAGTACAATCTGCAGATGAATCTGAGGGTAAGAAAACGTAATTTACCTTACCTCCTCTGTCACATCTGAATGTAACAAAAAGAAGAAGCAAATTAAGAATCATGGAGCTCAAGGGCTATTGTGAATATAATGATGTAACACATTTTATTTTTAAAAAATCTGTCCATTAAGTAATTATTCCAACAATAAACTAGATTCAATGAGAATGAACTATTCTTATAAACCACGAGATGGCACTAAATATCATTAATTTCAATAACAATTATTATTATTATTTCTTCCAAAATCACTCCAGATGGCAGACATAAGATTATCCAATAGGTCTGGTGAATGAGCTGGGAGCACCCAATGCTACAATGCTGATTAGGCAAAACAGATGCGGACTTACTGTATTTTTCGTCCCATAGGATGCTCCGTCCCATAGGACGCACCTAGTTTTTTGGGGGGGAAATAAAGGGGAAAAAATTTCCCTTTATTTCCCCCCCCCCAAACCAGGTCAGGGAAACCAAACCAGGTTGAGGAACAGTGGGATGGCGGTTCTGCGCCTCCCCGCTGTCCCCCGAGCTTGTGGGGCTGGCCGATGTCTGCCTGAAGCGCGGGGCGCTCTGTTTCAGCGCGCCCCGCGCTCTGTGCAGCAGGCTCCTATCCGCAGCATGGGGAGCCCTGCGGGAACTCCCTGCGGATGTCTGCCCGGCACGAGGGGCGCTCTGCTTCAGGGCCCAAGACCACCCTAGCACATGTTCCTCCTGTGGACAAGAACACACAGCAACATTACACTGAAGATATATAAATTATATCTAACACATGCATAGCTTCTTACCTATAGGTACCATACATGACTTTCTTACAGTCAACGAGAAGAAATTTTTGTTCCATTTTCCCATGGAATTTCGCCCCTGACTTGGAGTAATAATCTTGTCCTTTTACGGTACGCACCCTCATGTTCTGAAAAAAAAGATGAGAAATTGTATGAAAAAGTCGGAATGCATTAATATAAACAAATACAGAACAATTTACAACCCGGTCTTATGCCTATTTTCCAGTTTTGAGTAAAATCAAAAGGAGGTTTAGCCCCAAGCAAGGGTACAGAGAGTTGCAGCTTTAAACACTACCTGTGCTGAGAAATCCAAAGCATGTTAATGCAGGGGGGGAAACCTAGTTTGTTTAATTGGATTAACTATCTAGTAATTGGATTTAAAACACTTCACAGTTCTTATTACATGTAGAAGGAACCCTAATCTCTTTAATCCAGACAACACCACAGAAAGAGGTTTTCATATCCATATTAGTTAAGATGGAACCATAAAATAGTGTGAGAGAGAGAAAGATTGGGAGAGAGAAAGTGAGAGCAAGAGAGTGTGTCTGTCTACCCAGCGCTTTTTTTCTGGGGGTAGCCAGGGGTACGCATATCCCTAAACATTTTGTGAATCTTTGTACTTTTGTCCATTAACTGTATTTATTTCCCCCGGTTTGAACTATAAAATGGTGGTTTTCTTGAGTCAAAATGAGAGTACCCCTAAACATTTTTTTAGAAAAAACCCACTGTGTCTACCGATAGCTGAGGCTGATCACAGGGTTTATCAATGCTTATCTTTCCTCTGCTCTTTCCAGGCTGCAATTTAAAGTGCCTCCTTTTTTTGGCCCCAGAGTTTTTCCTCACAAATAACCCAAAAAACACTCTTTAAACTTCTATCAGAGGAAGCATCAATCTGTGCAAAACCCAAATTGACTTTTGCTCTGATTCAGCTTTAGAGAGTGGGTTTCCACAGAGAAAGTTTAGGGAAACAACAACAAAAAGACAATGCTCACGGACTGAGCATTAAAACACAGATCTCTGCCTGGAAAGAGTAGGGGAAAAGGTAAGTGTAGATAAGCCCATAGTGCTCTGGTACTACACATATGAATAGAAACATATTAGAAGAGTCCTGCTGAATCAAAGGCTTCTCTAGGCCAGCAACCCATTTCCCACAGTGGTGAACCAGATGTCCAAGGTACCCCGTAACTGAGGCATGAAGGCAATAGCATACTACATCTATTTCTGGAATGATCATGACTTGTAGGCAGACTGATAGCTTTGCCCTCCATGAATCTGTTTAATTTCTTTTCAGAGCCATCTTCGGAAGCAAATTCCGCAGTTTAGTTAGTTACTAAGTGAAGAAGTAGTGTCAGTCCCACCCTTCAGCCTTTGGTTGCCCATTGCTGCCATTTCCCCAGCTCTACAATATCATTTTTTTCGGTGTGGTGACCAGAACTGGCCATAGTTAGTGATATTCAGAAAAGCCGTACTCAGAGCAGACACACTAAAATCAATGCAGATAAGTAAATCCATTTACTTCTACCTTGATTTAGTCAGATATTACTCATAATTCCAGCTGTGGTCACATCATCGATTTATATAATGGCATTATATCACCAGCCTTATTTTCAGTTCCTCTCCTAGGGCTCTCTAACATGGAATTTCTCACTGCCACATACTAAACCAACATTTTCAATGAGCGACCCTCATATATGCTTTTCCTGGTTAATCACCCCATTGTACAGCATATATTTGATAGGCAAAACGTATTTGCTCTTTTGGTTACCATAGTCTTTTGATCAAATGAAGGGATCTTGCTGATGGAAGAGGACTTGCCACTTTTGTCAATTCCTCCCGTCCTCAGCAGCTCCAGACAGCAGCTCTGACACTGTCCCAGAGAGTCTCTTAACCTTCTGAGATAGATTTTCAGAGAGTGCAAAGGGATGATAACTTTTTTTCTATTTTCTATTTTTATTTTCTTTGTAAACCACCCTAGAACTGTGGTATGTAATTTTTTGCAGCATAAAATAAAAATATTATTTTACTAAGGTTTGCCTCACTACTAAGGAGCTTCACGCAGCAGCTGGTGTTGCTTCATGGGTTCCACCCAAATAATTGGTCAACTACAAGCCAGCCTAAGTCACCCTGATACATTATAATTGCGTACAATTTGCTATAAGAGGTGCAACACAAGTGACTTATAGGAGTAAAACCAACACAGCAGTGTGTGGGGGAAAAACAGGAACCTATTAAAAAAACAAAACAAAAAAACAAACAGGAACACCCTCAGTTAAGGGCAGTTGGGTCAGATCAGTGCAATGATACCACAGTAGCCAATTAAAATTTGACCGCATGGAGATACAGCCTGTTTATCTCTTTGCCAGTATAAAACCTGTATTTGTGAAATGTCCTTGTGGCAGCTTGAAGCTGGTATCCTCGGGAATGTTCCATTTGAAGATCATAAAGCATTTCTTTTTAAAATCAGAGAGCCAACAGAACATGCAATTGCTGTTCTAATCACACAGCACTGGATTCTGGTTACTAAAGTTCTTTAAGAAGGAAATACCTTCTGTGTGTCTTCAAAAGAATGGATGCAAATGGATGGAAGGGGGCAAAAAACCCCCACCCCCAGTTCTCCTCGCTATTCTCACCCATGCTATTGACTCCAGGTTTTGTTCGGTTCTTGGGCAAGATATCTTTTTTATTATTTTCTTTAAATATTCAACAATCCTTATTGTTACCATATATTCCCTTTGACTCTGCAGAGTCTTGACTTCCCACCCTCCCTGCAATTGGTATATTTGTCACATTCTTATCGTGTATATTATTCTTATATCACTACTATTTTACATTGAAGGTATTATTCCAGTCCTGCTAGTGTCTTTAAGTTTTTACAGTTCTCCTTTAAGTATTCAATAAATTTACTCCAATTATTCTTGTATCTCTGGTCTTCTTGGTCCCGGATCCTCCCTGTCAATTTGGCAAGTCTGTCATCTTCACCTGCCACTCCTGAATGGTTGGTATATCTTGTGTTTTCCATTTCTGGGCCAGTAGGGTTCTTGCGGCGGCAGTGGCATACATAAACAAATTCTGATCTTTTGTTTTAATCTCCCCTCCCAATAGACCTAGCAAAAAGGCTTCCGGTCTTTTGGGAAAGGTATACATAAATATCTTTTTAAGTTCATTATAAATTGATTCCCAAAATTGTTTAACCTTATCGCAGGTCCACCACATATGAAAATAATCGCCATCTACTTCTTTACATTTCCAACATCTTCTATCTCTCTTTCTATACATTTTAGCCAATTTTGTTGGCATTAAATGCCATCTATACATCATTTTTAATACATTCTCGTTCAAAGCCATACATCCAGTAAATCTCAAACCCTCCTTCCATAATTTTATCCACGTTTCCAACTCAATATTATTGGGCAAGATATCTTTAGGACGGCAGCCCCAGCTCCACTTCATTGCTGTTTCTCCTGCCCATTCATTTGCTCTTTCCCTCTGGGCTAAACACACACTACTTCCAGAAGGAGATGAAGGCCCGTGGCTCCTTCTTTTTGCTCCCATCATTGCTCACTTCCTTGCATCAACAGTTTTGAGCAGCTCGCTCCCTGGAGATCCTGGGGTGCACTGTCTGCACGTCCCAGATAAAGCCCATCAGATTGCAAGCAATTACAGCTGCACACCTTTATCCTGCCCATGCTTGCTCAGAAAGAAATCCAATTAATTTCAATGGAATTTACTAATGAGCACTTGAGAAAGGGTGTCAGGTCACACTCCTTAACCCACTTATTGGAGGGTAAAGCTCAAATTGGACACAGTGTGACTTACTCCCAAGTAAACACAGATAGGATTGTGCTGTTAGAAAGATCTCGCTCTCTTGTCAGTATCACTGCAAAGGCAGCTTTTAAGGTGCAGTAGGATATTTGCAAGCCCCAGAGAAAGTTTTTCCTTACAGACATTGCTATATTCAGTTTTTGCAACTAACATGTCAATTTATTATTTTGGAGCACTTGTGTGCCAAATATTTTCCTCTCTCACCGAACAAATTACTTACCCTGAGCCTTTGAACTTGACAGCCTTGTTTCTCTGTCATCTTCAGAAAGTGGTTGAAGTTAGATTCATCAAGTAGAAGATACACTGAAATTCCCCTAGTAGATGCTTCTACAATTTCTTTAAAAATATCCACATCTGTAAACATATCCATAACGATGGCAACAACCTGCGGATAGCAAAAAGTGTTGATGGCATTTAATGTACTGATGATGATAGCCATTATGAAACGTTACAGAATTTAAAATGTGCACCCTACACATAGTGTTGCTAATGACATCTGCAATGAACCATAAGCTCTATGTACTGAACATTTCTTTCTTCCTCATACAGGAAAATGGAAACTGGTTATTTTATAAATTCTTGTGCTTAAATGTCATTCACAAGCAGTGCTTTTTTCAGCTGGAACTTGCTGCAACTCAGTTCTGGCACCTCTCAGGTGGGTGCCATTGCCATTATAAGAGAACAAGGGAGGCGTTCGAGGTGAGTTCTGGCACCTCTTTTCTAGAAAAACAGCGCCGTAAAGTATATGTTTACTTAAGTCATAGGACTTTAAACCCCCTCATACTTATTCCAAGCAAGTCCCACAGAACTCAGAAGGGCTGACTTATAAAGAAAGACATAAGCATTGCACTGCACACCTAACTGGCGAGTTGATGTATTATGGCACCTTAAAATATTAGCACATATTATTGTGGCAATGATAGTTTTAAGGTTTCACAAGACTCTTTTTTTGTTTTGTTTTGTTTTGCTGCAATAGAATAGTGCAGCCACTCTTCTGGAGCAAATTGTACTGTGTTGTAAAATTTTCTTTGGAAGACTGAGATGACAAAACTTCACATTAGGAAGTTTTTGCTGTTCACAGCCACCAGGTGGTGATGATTGTGGGGAAATGGTCAATGCAGGAGTTTACAGAAAGAAGCACTAATGAATTCTCTCTCACACATACAACAATAATACACAGTATAGTTGATATGGAGAGGGTGGAAGATTTGGAGTGGAGGTCAGTTTTCCACTTACTGCAATATACACAACCCAAAGAAGGCAAGAAGGTAGATTGCTCCTAAAACCATTAGTTTGTATTAAAAAAAGGACTAACATTGGCAAAAGCCAAGGACTTTGGTTTTGAACAAATCATATTCAATGTCTTTTTTCAGGAACTGAGTGGGCAACCCACTTTAGCAAAGGTTGGGTGACCCACGTCTCAGAGTTAGATAAAAATTAGACGTCTAGACTTGGTTGTCTAAGGATGTAGATTACGGTATTGAGGTTGGAACAATGGGGCTTGGCAACAAGTATTGGTGAGGATCATGACAATAAGTTGGGGGGCCCTGCAAAGAATTTGACATTGGTTGCCTATAGTTGTATATTTAAAGTCTCCCTTCCACCCCCACCCCCCAAAACCCAACAACCCTAGGAATTGTAGTTTGTAGCTCTGTGAAGGTTAATTACCCTTGCCAAGATTCTTGGGGTATGTTGTTGTTTAGTCGTTTAGTTGTGTCTGACTCTTTGTGACCCCATGGACCAGAGCACGCCAGGCACTCTTGTCTTCATTCTTGGGGTATGGTAGTGTGCTTTTGAGACACTTAAAATGTATAGCGTGTACATACAGTGGTATCTCGGGTTAAGAACTTAATTTGTTCTGGAGGTTCGTTCTTAACCTGAAACTGTTCTTAACCTGAGGTACCACTTTAGCTAATGGGGCCTCCCGCTGCCGCTGCCGCCTTGCGATTTCTGTTCTCATCCTGAAGCAAAGTTATTAACCCGAGTAACTATTTCTAGGTTAGCGGAGTCTGTAACTTGAAGCGTCTGTAACTTGAAGCGTCTTTAATCCGAGTACCACTGTACAACACACTGTCAACACATTCAATGCCCAAAATATGACCAATGAAAACAGGTTCCGTTTGCCTTTGGCTTTCTTGGAAGAGTGCTATGCACACTATTTTCCTTTCTCCAAATCCTCTGAAAAAGAACACTTCAGTGGCTCGCAACTTGGACTGTGCAGACATAGAGAAAATACTCTGGCAGAGGACGCTGAGCAGACCATTCTGCCAAATGGGGAGCCCTACTGCTGCCCTGGCTCTGGCTGTGCTTTGACGCCACTGAGTCACCTGGCTGAAGCAGCAACTTTATTGCTTTGCTGAGGAATGCTTTTTGAAAATCCACTGCAAGGCCAGTTTATCGGTAAGCTTATCTCATTCAAAGGTATTTTTCAGATAGGCGGCCTGGAAACCTTGTGGGCCTCAGTCTGTTTGGCCTAGTCGATGTCAGCCTGGGAGCCTCGCTCAGCTTGTGCTGTGCTTGCAAGCTGTTGTAAACTGAGAGGAGACGGGTTGGAGGAGGAGAGATGAGGAACCTGGAAGCCCTGAAGCTGAGGCCTGTCCTGTGATATTTTTCTAAACTGAGAGAGAATGGGCAGTGACTCATCGCTGTAAGAACATAGCAGAACCAAGGCTGAGCAAGATGACCCTCATGGGCGTTGCATAAATATATGCCAGGTGGCAGAGGTGAACAATAGCCTGGGATAGAACAAGCACAAGTCAAGGTCTGTGTCTGACACAATGATACAGGGATGTTTTTAGTCAGGGAGGGGAAGGAGTGGTTACCTTGCTCTTTCTTTACTCATATGTATGCCCTCCACCACAGAGCCTACAAATACCCAAAGAATAATACCACGTGATGTCTGGAACTACACCCTGATGGCAGTCAATACTGAAAGACTGCACTGAGGGCCCAAGTGACTGCAGCATAAAATGAACAGGCATATGCCACCAGCAGAGTTGTACTTAACAGGCAATCTTGGTGAAAACTGGAAAAGCGAAGTGTTTGAGAGGTATCAATTTTGGCAGCACTAGTTTGATGAAGCAGCAGGAATAGGTGAGATAGCTTTCAGGATGATGCAATGGCCCTTGTATTGTTGTGTCGTTGAGTTTCGATCTTCATTGCTGCAAGGGCCACCGGACTGTCTTATTTGTTACTGCATAGTCAATAAGAACGACTGACTCCTGTGTAGAAACCGCCACTGATACAGGGTGCAAGCAAGGCGCAAAGAACACTTTGTGTTAATTTGGCTTTGGGTTTTTTTTCAGTGTGGGGCGATGGATGGGGAATTTGTGAAGCTGGAAAATCCACTTTAAAAACTCTGTTGAAACCTCTCTGGAACTAATGGAGCTTGTTCTTAATCATTTGAAAATCACAACCAGCTAACACAGCATTAGTCAGACTTCTGATTGGTTGTTTTTAAACAGCAGGAAGCATATCTGAATGGTTCCCCTGCATCTTCCGCATGAGTTTGCAATATAAGTCTGCGTGGAGGAGTGAGAGAGCAATAAAGCAAAAGATTCAAGCGTCATTCATTTATTTGTGTAATTATATCCCTCCAAGGATTAGAGCAAGATTTTAGCTTCATGTCAACCTGAGGTATAAACTGAGAAAATGACTTGGGTGAAGCAGTTCAGCAAACCCCATTCTTCAAATATGATCAGCAACCTTGCACCATATAGATAGATTATAGATAGATAGATGATAGTGCATCTCAGGAAACATGTCATGACAAACCAGGAAGGAAACAAATGAGAGATTAGGGATAATTAAGACTACATTGAATGATTTGCAGAGTAACAACATCTCAGCACCCTAGATTTGTCTCTTCATAGCTCCTTGTGGAAATATGTAAAAATAAACAAAACAAAAACCAATGCTATTGCTTTGAGTCTGAGTGAACAAAATGTTTATGCATCAAGCTCTAAAATATACAAAGTATTTTGTTAAAAGTTTTTAAGATGAACATTTTTCATTACACCCCCCTCCCAAGTAGAAACACCAGAACATTCATTGATAGTAATAGTTATATCTTAAGGAACTTAAACAAGAAAAATATATACAGCGACTTCTGTTCATAGAGTTCAGCTCTGGTTCGTATAGGATAGTTCCATTTTACTCATATCTTTGTCATACACAAACAACAAACCACTTTATATTCCTCCTGTACCAGGTGTGGGAAGCCTTTGGTCCTCCAGATGTTGCTGAACTATAACATCAAGCATGGCCAATGGCCAGGGATGATGGGAGTTATGGTTCAGCAACATCTGGAAGGTCCAGTGTTCCTCACCCCTGGCCTATACAGTGAACACACAAAGTACAATGACATTTGGTCCCAGGGAAGCAGCAGATCAGACCCAGGAAAGATGCATCCATTTTTGTCACATTATGGACTCACCAACCGAAGCTTCCATATATGATGGCAATCATTCTCAATGGGAGGTAAGGTCATTTGGTGTCCTATTTTCATCATTCGATGATACTGAGTGTCAGAACATTGGTTTATTGATCCCAGTATTGCCTACCCCAACTGGCAGCAATTGTCTGTGGTCTCAGATAGGCTTCTTGGGAGCCAGTCCTTGGAAATGCCAGGGACCGAACTTGAGAACTTGCACATGTAAAGCTTCTCCTGGACTTTTCCTCCATGATATTTATTTTGAGAAGGGTCTGATACGAGGTAGAATGGACCTTCCTACAGCTTTAACACCTTTGGTCATGATCAGCTGATTGCAAATAATAACCACGGCACATGTGTAAGAGGTTGGAATTCTTTGCCTGTGTGTGTCTATAACTATGCAGCATCAATGTAATTGTTCTTGTACTAGTAATAATTCTTGCCGTTACTGTGCTTAGCTGTAGAGCAGCCTTCTTCCCCCTCTTTGACCTTACAGACCTTACAACAATAAGGTGTGATTTGCAATTCCCAACTGTAGGTTCTAACCATATTCATTTGCTTCTTATTTTCGGGAAACCAGTAGGAAAAAGACTTGTAAACAAAACAAAATAATTTACAGGGGTTGAAATCAGTGTTCACTGCATGACTGACTGTCGGTCATGACTCACAACATCAAGAAACCAATGATCTCTAAGCCCTTGGGACAACACACACATCAGTCAAAATCCTATTATCTTACTCATTCCACTTAGTCAAGCAAAGCTGCTGACCTTGTCTTCTAGCTACCATAATGGAGTAACATTCCACCTAGAGAATCCATAAGATAAAACCTGAAATGTAGGCTGCTATTGGAAAAGCCCCTGGTCTCCAGGCATGTAAATGGGCTTGTAAGCACATTGTGGAATTACTTCTGCAATCATGTAGCACGGTGGACTGATTAGCCAAAATGGGGAAAGCGACAGCATAAAACCCCAAGGAAATACAGAGCTTGCCATGCAGATTTCCCAATAGCAGCTGCAACATTTAACAGGAAAGACTGTAACCTTTAAACAAGAAAATAATCTTCTGTCAAACGGCAAAAAAGTTCTGGTATTTCTGCCCTCTAAAAACAGAACATAATTCTGCAGTGTGGTTCTGCCAAATACAATGACAGACCCTCCCCCAAGTGTCCCTATTTTCCAGGGAAAGTCCTGGCTTCACAGAAGCCATACCAGTTTCTTATTTGATCCCTTAATGTCCTGCTTTTCCTTAGGACATCCCTATTTTCATTAGAGAAATATTGGTGGGTATGGAGTCATGCAACCCCTGAGCCAAGGAGATATATAACTATACAGTAGTACCTCGGGTTAAGTACTTAATTCGTTCCGGAGGTCCGTTCTTAACCTGAAACTGTTCTTAACCTGAAGCACCACTTTAGCTAATGGGGCCTCCTGCTGCCGCTGCACCGCCGGAGCACGATTTCTGTTCTCATCCTGAAGCAAAGTTCTTAACCCGAGGTACTATTTCTGGGTTAGTGGAGTCTGTAACCTGAAGCGTATGTAACCTGAGGTACCACTGTTCAACCTTTAGAAGACATCTGAAGGCAGCGCTGTATAGGGAAGTTTAAAAAAATGTATTATTATTTTATATATATATATATATATATATATGTTGGAAGCCACCCAGAGTAGCTGGGACAACCCAGTCAGATGGGATATAAATAATAAAATTACTACTGCTGCTGCTACTACTACTACTACTACTACTATGGAATAGTACATCCTTATTTTCATCGGAGAAATGTTGGAGGGTATGCAATCCCTTCTGCTATATCACTTCCATTGAGGGTTTAAGTCCTGCTTGCTACTTCATTAGACTTCTATTTAGTTTGGAGGGATAGTTTGAATACAAGGTACAGAGGGGTGGGTCAGGTCACCTGTATTGCTCCCTGGGTTTGCCACCACGTCCCCCACAGACCCCTCCTTAAGGGGTGCAGGAGATTGTGATCCTCAGGAGATCCACAGCCCACCAGTTCTGGATCCCTGGTTGAATGTAAATTATCATTGCTTTCCATTTTGGACTATAAATGTACTATTACTCTAGTAACAGACTGCAAGGGAACTGCAGAGAGCTGCTTTACTTAGATCCTTGGAACACAGCAGAAAAAGTGTTTAGTGCGAGCAGGAAAGATACGCATCAAAATGAAAAGGGGCACCAGGAGTGCCAGTCAAGTTACTTAAAACAAAAACCAACCAACCAACCAACCAACCAATAAAGGAATCCTGAACCTCAACACACAGTTATTTATGCTGATGGGAACTCTGTTGTTACAGATGGTTTTAAAACTCAACACTTTCTAAAATAGGCATTAGGCTTACTGAAATAGGCATTGCTTGTTACATTGCTATTGCCAGTGCTCCCCCCCCCCCAACCTAGAAAAAGAGAACTCACTATGTTCTCTTAGAATGGCAACAGCGCCCACCTGAGAGGTGGTTCTGGCTGGAAAAAAGCCCTGGCTATTGCCCTGTGCTAGCCCTGATTTTACAAACATTTTGCCAATCCACCCCACCTTCACTGTTGCACCTTCAGAGCTGCAGGCTTCCTATGACTCACTTATTTTACAAGAGATATAAATACAATTCCTGACATCAACTTTTGCTTAAAAAGTCCCCTACCCACCCTTACATTTCTACAGTATGTTGTCACTACTCCCCCCCCCCATGGGTTGCCTCATCTTCACAAGAAGACTCATGCTTTCAGGGTCTGGGGATGAAGATGGGATCACCATTAGAAACCAGTTCTCTGTCCTAAGTATTCTAAACACAGTTTGGGGCGAGGGATATACTTTTCCTTAAGCAAAACAAATACCCTGTGCAGTTAAAAACAAACAAACCAGTAATGTTTTGTCATTATTGCTACAGCAGATAAAGTAAATACAAATGGGCTTCTTTGGGAGAAAGGGTGGGCTATTGAATAAATATTAAGATAAACAATAAATGTTTAATTTATTGAAGAAAAGGGTAGGAGAGGCCTTTGTGAAATCCACAAGTCCACATCCTGATTCTCCCCAATTGTAAACAAATCATGCCCACCCCAACAGCCTTCTATTGTAAAGCAAGGGAAAAGAAAGTGCTGTAAAGTAAGTGTTCAATCACTTTTAACTAATTAATGGTGTTCTGGGGACTGTACAGATTTAACATGTATGTTTTATTTATATTTATATTTTATTGGAAAAAAATCAGTAGAGAAATCAGGTGGAAAGGGGGAAGAAAAATCAAAAAGAAACAAAAAGAAAAATGTGTTTGAAACTGATACAGTACAAAATATGGGTACTGTATATAAGTATCATGATTATTCTAGTGGGTATAAAATTATTAACAAGTCATTGTGCTTTTTATAAATGAATTCCAAATATCATTATATTTAGCCAGGGATAGTCAACCTTTTTATACCTACCGCCCACTAATGCATCTTTCTTGATGGTAAAATTTCCTTACCGCCCACCAGTGCTCAATGGAAGGAGGATTCAGCTTGTGCCGTAGAACCCCCTACCGCCCACCTAGAATCCTGAAACGCCCACTAGTGGACAGTAGGGACCAGGTTGACAACCCCTGATATTTAGCCATATACAGTCTACATCTAAAAGCAATCCGTCTGTATGCTGCAAGAGTTGTCATATCTTCTACCCATCGTTCAAAGGGGGCCATGGTGTTATTTTTAAATATCAGTCTTTTGGCAGAAGTAGGGGCACAAAGAGACCATTTATATTGACCCTCTGTCAAACCACATATAGTTGGTATGTGGTGTAGGATAATATTATCATCTGACAATTTAATCTCCCGCAACGTACAGTGGTACCTCTAGTTACCATTTCGGGGTGCCATTCGCACCCCAAAAAGTCCAAAACTAGAGCACCTCTTCTGCACATGTGTGTGGCGTGATCGAGTGCTTCTGTGCATGCGTGAAGTGCGCAGATCGCAACTGCACAAGTGGCAAACCCGGAAGTAAACACTTCCGGGTTTGCCGCGTTCGTACCTTGAAAGTCCGTAACAAGAGCGGAATGCAACATCTTAATTTCTACATCTTAATACATTTCTACATCTTAATACATTCCTCCAAAAATCTGTGAGCATCGGACATTGCATAAACTTATGTTTCAAAGAAGCATTTTCTGTGTACAGAAAGGGAAAAAAGATAAGTATAGTATAGGAAAAAAAACTTCTTTATAGAACAGGACAGGACATTCACGGAAAAGAGATCTGAATGCAACAGCTCAGTATTATTGAAAAATGAAAAAGAAAACCTTGGCATGTATGAGTGAACTTTTGCCACTATTCAAAAAGAAATCCAGCATTTTCGAACACTGCAATCTTTCTTTTAAAAAAATAAAATAAAATAACTTGAACACAATATTGTGTATACACTGTCCAGAAAAGTTCCAAAGTTCATAAAAGGCATGAAGTGAAAAAACATAAAATTCCTGTCTTTTACTTTTATTGGGATTTCAAGCCTTCTGGTGTAGGCTTTGCATTGTCTAGAACTGTGCACATCACACAACAGAAAGTTTAAAAAGAAACCCTATGATCACTTATACCTTATTCAAAACAAACTGTGAAATTTCATTGAATGCCCTAAATGTGTTAGCATCCCTACATATGATGAGTCAGTAGCGGTTCCCTACTGTGAACGTACTATCTGTAGATCTAGGGCAACCAGGAAGGCCTGGCTGAGATAGAGAGCATTCACAGTGTGTGTTTTTCCTATGAAGTCACCTTCACAGTGCTCTGACCCAGGAAGAAGCCAAGCTGCAAAGGTAAAAACAGTGGTTGCCGCCAGAGCCAATCCCATCAGTAGGAGCAGATTTAGCACATCGCCAATGATACGCAATGGCAGTCCTTGTCCAGCAACATGGGGTGGGGCAGAGGTACCCCACACATTTTTTTGGGGGGGGAGTGCTACTCCATACTGTGAAACAGTCCTGCAGAGCTACTACCTACCAGGCTGGGGCAGAGATACTTCTCCTCTCCAAGGAGTGGAGTACAGGAGAAAGGAATGCTTCCTAGGGACCCAGACACAGAGCCAAGCACGCTACCACGTTCAACACATCTTGGTATTTAATATGCAAAGAAATGCAAAAGAGGAAATGCAAAGAGTAGCAGTTGAATTGCCTGCCAGTTATCAGGATAAGAGCAGGAAGTGGGCAGGTGGGTTAACTTTTCCTCTCCTGGAACTATTTCATTGGGAAATGTCTGGGTATTGTGATTATTTTATAATTAAGAAGTAAAAGTTGATTGTTCACTGTATTAATGCATACTGCCCTTCTGGCAACGCACTCAAGGTGGTTTACAATTTTTAGGTTGTGAACCGCCCTGAGATCTTTGGGTGAAGGGTAGTATATAAATTTAGGAAATAATAATAATGAATAATATTACCCTTCATTGGTGCCAGTGAGAGACTTCTTCCAATGTAAATAGGCTCTGCAAGGGAGCAATATTCATAAGGACCAGAGGAGCGGTGAAGGGATTAAACTCGCCCCCCCACCCCAACTGGCTGCAATCCAAATATACCCACTCCCCAGCAGCTATTTGTATTTTTTAAAAATATGTTAATTTTAAATACAAAGAAACATTTAACACTGTTTTTAAAGGTAAAGGTAAACCATTAGGTGCAGTCATGGCCGACTCTGGGGTTGCGGCGCTCATCTCGCTTTATTGGCCAAGGGAGCCGGCATACAGCTTCCGGGTCATGTGGCCAGCATGACTAAGCTGCTTCTGGCGAACCAGAGTAGCGCACGGAAAGCCGTTTACCTTCCCGCTGGAGCAGCACCTATTTATCTACTTGCACTTTGACGTGCTTTCGAACTGCTAGGTTGGCAGGAGCAGGGACCGAGCCACGGGAGCTCACCCAGTCGCAGGGATTTGAACCACCGACCTTCTGATCAGCAAGTCCTAGGCTCTGTGGTTTAACCCACAGCACCACCGTTTGGCCCTAATCTATATCACTGGATACGAATCTGATAGCAGTCAGATTTGCTCCTATGAAGTCTTGCCATGATGGTTTAGCTGCCTTAGCTCTTGCAGCTAAACCTGGTCAATTTGCTGTCTATCATGCACAGACCAAGGGGACAGAACCGAAACCAATGCCACTTATTTGCAACAACAATAATAATAAGAAAACATTACTGCAAGGTACAAATTTGCTTATGCTCGCAGCTCCTTGGCAAGGCATAATCTATACAAATCACCAGTCATCTCCAAAATGGAAACTAAGGGCCATTTTTTTCAAGATGGTGTCATGCATGGTGGTTACTAAACTAGCAGGTATTCAATGCCACCTCACCCCTGGCTGGCTTTAAGGAAAAGTACAGTGCATTTCTCAAAGTATTTTCAACAAAGACTAGCTACCAAGCTTAAAGAGAAGCTGCCAGAAAGCATTTCCCTCCCTAAATAAATATGTGTCCTCAGAGGGACTATATTGCCAGAGGGGAGAGGAAATTGAGTGGATAGGAGCATACGTGCTTAAAATGAAAAACATTTCTGGAAATAATTCACAAAGGTGACAGAAACTGGATTAGGAAAACACACACAGATGCTAAATTGCATGGGTTGGAAATGGGCTGTGCTATTTGAAAAACAGCCAGGGCATGTACCGTCTGTAAATGGAGCACAGGGGCCACCGGCCTGGACTTAATTATTGAAATTCAATAACTCATGGCGTTTTATTCCCCACTGAGCATAAATTACTGCTAACATGAAATCTCAGTGTTTGATACTCATGGGTCACAGAGTTGCAATGTGGAACTGCTTGGATTGTTATTAGTTTTTAAAAGAAAATGTTCATGGATTCCAAAGTAAGATCAAAGTCTTACATTTGTGGACAGTGTATCTGGAAAACAAACAGACTATAATGGTAACAGCATGACAGGTAAGTACGAAATAAAATGCAACTTTTTTTTAAATCAGCATTTTTACTGCCTACTTGTATGTACAGTGGTACATACAAGGGTAAAGGTAAAGGGACCCCTGACCATTAGGTCCAGTCATGGCTGACTCTGGGGTTGCGGCGCTCATCTCGCTTTATTGGCCGAGGGAGCCGGCATACATCTTCTGGGTCATGTGGCCAGCATGACTAAGCCGCTTCTGGCGAACCAGAGCAGCGCACGGAGATGCCATTTACCTTCCCGCTAGGTTGGCAGGAGCAGGGACTGAGCCACGGGAGCTCACCCCGTTGCGGGGATTTGAACCGCCGACCTTCTGATCAGCAAGTCCTAGGCTCTGTGGTTTAACCCACAGTGCCACCCATGTCCCAACAGCGCCACCCGTGTCCCACAGTGCCACCCGCATCCCACAGCGCCACCTGCATCCCATGAACTTAATCCGTTCCGAAAGTCTGTTCTTAAACCAAAACAGTTCTCAAACCGAGGTGCACTTTCCCTAATGAGGCCTCCCGCCGCCAGTGCCCTTCCACCGTTCAGATTCCATTCTTAGACTGAGGTAAAGTTCGCAAACCAGGAAACTACTTCAGGTTTTGCGGAGTTCGTAAACCAAATTGTTCTTAAATCGGACTGTTCTTAAACCGAGGTACCACTGTATAGTCAGAAGGTGCCTTGAGTACAGGTCTTGTAATCTACTCAGCCAGAAGAACAGGTGGCTAACTAGAAGTCTAGCCGACCAATCCTAAGTGACATTGCTTTCCACTTATTGCCATTAAAAAATGAACTGGTGCAATCTTTTTTAAAAAAGCATATCTAGGAATTTAAAATCATCAACAGCTGAACAAAACACAATTGGCTAAACAGTGATACCAGGCTTTAGGGGTAATCACAGCAACATGGAGCCATCACTGATCAATAGACTGAAGAACTTAAATATTGTATCTGGGCCCCCATCAAGCAGCAACAATTAAACTTTTTCCATTTGTTAGTAGCTTAGCTTTGTGTTTAGGCAAGATTTAAGTGACTGGTCCGGTCGTATGTAAGCTGAACACTTGCATATTCTTAAAGTGATGCAAGCTGATCCAAAAACTAACAGAGGATGACTTCTTGGACAATAAGACTGCATAGGTTACCGGTTGTTCAAATCTCGCAGCATTCTTTCCTTGTGTTATCAACACAATCACTGACAAACTCCTGGGAGTGCAGATACATCATTCTCTATGGAATGATGCATTGAAATGGGCTCATTTGCTTTATAAATGTATGTATGTGTATATATTATAAATACACACACACACATAATTATAAATGTATATATGAAAAGAAAGTAACTTGTATAAATCTCAAAACTTAAAGCAATATAACTATTTAATTTGAAGTTAATTTGTAAACATTTGGAAACACCCCCCCCAAAAAAAATTATATTGGGGGGCGAAAAACCTCGCAATGAAGGAGAGTCCATTACCTCCCAAGCAAATCCATTCCACTGTTTGCGGGAGAGGGGGGGCACTTAAAACACTTCACTAATTTATTTTCAAATATGAAATAACTACACTAGATGAAGACATCTGCCATATTGCTGAACTTGTTCAATTAGGTTTATTACTGGTGCATAGAGCAAACGCTAAATTAAATCCCAGAATGCACAAGCACATAATTTTCATATAGTGTGTGAAGAATATTTTGAATTCTGACTATAATTTTAGCATACTCAGATGTCTTCAGTACCGAGGAGGCTCATCTAATTGCAATTTTTATTTTATTTTTTAAAGAGCTAAGCACTCCAGTTTAATACAGGCTCACTTGAACCTAACCAAGAATGTAACCACCAGCTCCTATCTATTATCCTTGTCTATGGGGATTGTCTAATCTGTTCCCTATGTGTGACAGATGCACATGTTCAGTCCTGTGGATATACAAAGCACTGTACATGCAGGAGCAAGGCCTTTGGCAGCTCTGCGTGCAGAGTAGCATGGACAGGACGACAAGAGAAGGATACAATGAGGTATTAGCATGGACACCTGCGGATTTTTTTTTCCGGGGGGAGGGGTAATACTGCAAACATTCATCACTAGCATCAGAGAACTGGCCTACCATTGCTGGAAGAAGTGATGACTGAGCTGCAGTGAGGTCTGAGTAGACCTGGCCTCTGAGAAACTAGTATTCCAGGTTAGCCCCATCTCCCAGTCCTTTGTTGTTTTTCATTGGGTAGAACTGCTATTCACCTATGAATTGACCTACCTCCTGACACCCTCCAGTCCTTAATTAATTGCCCTGCTGCTAAAATAAACTTAACACCCACACTGCATTTACCCAGCATCCACACACATCCACACACCAAGATAAACAACGCTGGACTGGACTTCACTGTTGACATACACTATTTTAATTTCCCCCTCCACCCAGTGGAGTTAAATACTCCACAGAGCTGATATAACCTCTCTCAGCCACAACCCTATCCCTTGCAATATGAGATAATAATGATGGACTTTATCCGCATTGGTGCTAGGCAAAGCAATTTTTAAAAAATGTTTACAAACTTGGAGAAATAACTTTGGGGGGATGTGAAAGGAGATTTGACTTGGAAAGGTCATGAACTCCCACTATTACTGTTACCTTTCAGTTTTGGGAGAGTCACCCACCAGCTCCTTGTTCACCACACCACCAGCAGAATATGGACTCAGCTACAGAGCTGCAAATATAACGTTTTAAGCGTGTTTTAAGTGCACTTTACAAATGTGACTCTAGATGGTGATGGTTGGCTTATGGCAAATTCAATATATTTTTAAAACTTTTTTTTAAAGCATTTTCACAGCAGGTTTAGATTCCACATTTGTGTTTGTTTGTTGGGGGAGGTCCTCCAGACCAAATCTTCCTGCAGACTCTTTTCTCTCACACATATGAGGGCATCAGTAAATAAACTAGGCTAAGGTGTGTTCTCACAGTTTTGGGTCTGCATTTAAGTGATATTCAAGAGAGTTGGCAAAGAATCCTGTTGAGATGATGAAAAAAGGAATTTCTCAATCCAGTCTTCCACACCCATCTCCTGCAATACATTTCCTTCTACATACAAAACATTTCCTTTTAATACAGATGCAGAAATTTACAATGCTTAAATTAAAACCGTATATTTAGTATACACTAGACTTCAGAAAGTTGAATGCCTAGGTCTTGGAAATGCAAAAGGAAATAAGTCCCCCCCGCCCCCCCCAAAAAAACCAAGCAGGTTTTGTTTTACTGGCTTGTTATGCTGAAACTTAGATCTGGCTAATTAAATCCAGCTAAATTAAGGCACGCATAAGTAGCTGTGTTTTTGCAAGGGCTTGCATTTCTTTCAAGTCATATCAAACTGACAGTACACAAGTTCTGTCATGACTCCAAAAGCACACATACACATTTATTTTTACAGATAAGTTCAATGCAGGTCCAGCCTATTCGCAATCTTCACTAGCAATCAGTGAGATTCTTAACTGATCAGAGAAAAATTGACCTAGCCTGCTTTTCTCAGCAGCTCGGTGTGTAGAAATTAACAGATGAAAGTTTTCACAGAATGAAGGTAAATGCGGATCTCAGTGTCACTGTTTAAAAAGGATAGCTAAAGGCCAGATAAAATGTTAGCAACCCATTAGCAATTTCATCATGCGCAACAGCATTTGAAACAAGAAACAGTATTTTCAGATACTGTTAAGCTGGCTGTCTAATTTAGGCTACAATCCTAAACACTTACCCTGGAGTTAAATCCCACTGAACCTAATGGAACTTGCTCTGAAAAAACATTCATAGGATGAAGCAGACCTTGCCAACTTGGTGACTAGGGCTGGGAGATGTATCAATATATCATCCAAAACTGGTTTGAAGTCCATAGGGTGATATCATTTTCATAATTTTTGACCTGGCAATTTATCGTGAATCATGATATGTGTTAGGACTGGGTGATATATACAAAAATCATGAAGTGGGAAAAACTGGGAAGCCAGCCAATGCCTCTATCCTTATTTCAGACATCGTGGCATATCATTATATCGTGACGTTTAGCTGGTGATATGCCGTGATGTTGAAAAGCAGATATTGCTCAGCCCTACTGGTGACCTTCAGCTGCTTTGGAATACAACTCCCATCAGTCCCAGGCAGCACAGCAGGAGGGCAGGAGGTTGATTAAGGCTAGGATCATAAGACAGGTTAGGCTTGGCAGAACTTAGAGCTTTTCCCATCCGAAGAGGGAAAAACAATGGAGAAAGCAGTTGGGTATCTTTAGGATTTGTGGTCTCTATCTCAAGGAGAATCAAAAAGCTGCTTCTAGCAAAGTAGGGTATGTGAGTGGAGATATGAAGACTGGATCTGGTCCTTGAGATAGTTTTTTCCTGAGTGCCCAGAGAACCAGGCCTACTTTTAATCAAGATATGGTGAAATGTTTTCACCCAGTTTTCCACTCCTAAGGAGCAGATGGGATATTTAAGTGCATAAGAGGATCCCTACTGGATCAAGCCAGCATCTAGTCCAGCATCCTTCTTTCCCACAGTGGCCAACCTGATACCTCTTAGAAGTCCACAAGACAGATACAAAAATAATAGCCCTTTCCCAGTGTGGTTCCCCAGCTACTAGTATTCAGAAGCATACTGAATATGAATGTTCCTTATGCTCATAATAGCTGATGCCCACTGATAAGCCTATCCTCCAAGGATAGACCCAATCTCTAATAAGTGGCTAATGAATATTTAACTATTTAATGTTGCATGTCTCTTTGAAGGCTTGTAGGCAAGATGTACATGTGTGTAGGTATGCTATGCCCGAATGGAGGAGGTGCATCATTCCTGGCATGCTGTTATTGCTAAATGGTGCCAATTTTCATCACATGTGAGGTGGCCAGTTTGCAAAGCAGAATTCACTTCCATAGCAGAGCACAGAAGACTGAGAACTTCTGCTGCCCTTGTACCAATCACTGTCTATCACTCAGAGGGAGAGAGAGGGCCAGGGATTCACACTGAAAATTGAAGTTGTCTGGAGGGATCAAGAAAGCTAAACTGATGTGCCTTTGGAAATACTACGTGGTCTGCAAGCCAAATGTGCTGTAACCTTGTAGCAGATATTAATAGAGACCTCAAGAAGAGAGTCTTTAGGGCAGGCACAGAATCATGAGCAATTTTACAACATTTGTTCTCAAACAAATAGAAGAGAAAATCCCAGTTAGAAGACACAGTGACCTTATTCCAGAATCTGAATTACCGGTACTACAGAGGGGAGCAACAGCAGATGTTTGTACACTTTGTCATAATTACTCCAAGGGGGGGGGGGGGGCAGAATTAAAGTTGCAAAGCAAGTGCATCCAGTATTGCACTCCAGAGCTGTGCACATCCAAGGGGCTTGTGAAAATGTGGAGTCAATTTTATAAAGATGACAATACCTGCAATACTACTTCATCTCAGGAGCTGAGTCGAGTCAAGGGCTTATATTGACTTTCATTTTTGTTCTATTGGAACAATTTTCCAGCCACAGTCTCTCATTTATTGGGTATGATTATTATGTCCAGTGGTGCTTTTTAAACATCTTGACATAAAGGGAACACTACTGATCATTAATTACACACATGCTCTCAAAACCTGCTCTACTGTTTTCTTCCTATAATGGAACATATTTATCATTAGTTGGAAGTTGATTAATGCTTTTTCCCCGATCTGAAAGCAGATTTTTATTAAGCTTTGTTGTAATAAAAATAAAGGGGGGGGGACAGCCTCTGGTTTTCGTATTAAAAAGAAACATTAGTCCTCCTATAAACCACTGTATCACCCTACTAACTCTCTGTAATAGCACCCATCTATACCAGACTACAAACTTAATAACTTATCATAGAAGGCATACAGAGGAAATATGGGGGAAACGTGCAACAAACCAAAAGAAACCAACAGAACTCTCTCTTGCTTGGAATTGTCATGGACTCACAAAACAATGTTTGATAGTTGAAAATCTATTGGAGGCATTCAGGACTTGAGATTCATACTCTTCAAGCAATAGTTTAAGCACATACCACATTTATTTAGTTGCCATTTTGGTGTTAAGTGTTTTCACTTAGGAGTAAAGAATTCCCCACTCAGAGCTTCCAGTATTTTGTTTAACTTCCATAGCTGCATCAATAGTAACAGCGGCCAAAGCCATCACAAGTTCCTTAAATGATATTGGTCTTAAAAAAAGAGAGATTCATCTTGTAAAAAAAAAAAAAAATCAGAACAGTTTTTGTGAGCTTGGAGTCACACTGTTCCTTTATATCAGCAGTTTGTGTTGTTCACAGTATGCCTTCATCATATTCCCCATTAGAATATTAATTACCGAACAAACTGGATATAACAGCCCTGATAATGAACGCTGCCATGCTACTACTCATTGTCCACCCACTGTTTTCAGACTTCTCATTAGCTCTAATTCGATTATATGGTGGAAAGACGGCTCAGCCCAACACCTCTCTTTTCGCAGTGTGACATGTCTCCATTTTCAAATGATTAATAGATGCCACAATGCATTTCAGCAAACATACCCACATTCTGAAGATAGGATCTGAATGATTTGTGCATTTGGTGTGACCACAAGGAGAAAGACAGCAGCTTTTGTGAAATTGCAATCAGATATAGTTTTCATAGTCCTATGAATTCAACCTTTATGAGAAGGAATGGTAACCTGTGTTGACCCCCTTGATGTTCTGGGACCCCAACTCTCATCAGCCCCAGTCAAAAATACATTTACAGAACAAGCTAGCATGTTTCAGTAGATGCTCCATGGCTGGGGAATGATCTTCTTAGGTGTGCCTTGAACCCACAGAATATTCACTTCAACAGGTGAAGACACCTCTTACATTAGGCTTTTAGAGATGGAGAGCTGTGATAGGTGAAGTCAGTTTTATGTATGATGCAACTTACTCTGTTATTACTTGACAATTTCATGTGAATCTTTTTTTTTTAATGTTTTGCTGTGTTTTATTTTGTTGTACTCTACCCTGTGACTGTTTTTTAAAACTGCTTTTTTATTAAAGGTTTTCTGGGGTTACAAAAGTACATACATAGCCACTATTTTCAGATTGTAAAGTCCTTTCTACAGATCAGTTATATTCAATATGAGACTTTGATGTTTTATACAGTATAAGGTTGGGGGAGAAGAGAGTTGGGGAGACAGCGTGGTGTGGGGAGAGAGAAGGGGGTAGTAAACTTTCATTCTTTTACATGGTATATGTGCCAGGTTTTTGTGTCGGTGTCGCGTGGGAAAGGTTCCCTTTCTATTCTTTATTAGTTATCATTGCAACTGAGAGGAGGGGTGGCTGCTTCTGACAGCAGAGAGACTTGGCTTGGGGATAGTATCCACAATATAAAAAACACTGCTCCAGAATCCCACCAAACCCCTCATCTCAATCTAAAAACAATAGGAGCATAGCATAGGCTACGAAATAAACCCTACCCAATGGAACTATGTTCTAAACCTCCCTTTAAACCCACCTCAACCAAAAGAAGGGAATTCACCATAAAACTTATCTTTGGATGGTACCTAACACCCTGTGACTGTTGTGAAGGGTGATATAAAAATATATTTATAAAATAAGTAGTCGTCAGGGATAATGGGACTTGTAGTTCAGCAACATTTGTAGGGCCAGTTTTACAATATGCCTATGATGTCCATGTAAGAAGCCAAATATTGCTGCTCTAACCTTCATTAAATTTGCTTTTCTGTCATAAAAAAAAATATTTGGGTGTTGTCCAGTGGAATCCTGGTCAATAGTTGCATCCTTTGATGTTACTTTATTGAAAACATGTTGCAATCCATTTCACTCGTCCAACTTCAAGAGGACCCCATTTGTGAATCATTACCACTATGGAGTTCCAACATGGCTAGGCAACAAAGAGAAGCACTGGCGGCAACATATTGTCTAATTCTCCTTGAAAATATATTTCAATAAATTCAGTCAAGAACTCTTAGGAATGTATATCTCCTCCACAATCCCTTAGATCTGTGCTATGATATAAGCAATGCACCAAAAAACCCAACAACCTTTGTAGTATAAAACTCTCCACCAGTCAGTACAATATTTTAGTAGCTGCCATCTTCATGGCATTTCCAAGCAAAGGGGTGATGAAAATGCCTGCACTGGTATAAATTGTTATTTTCCCAGATCAGCAATTAACACTGCTGTTGAAAAGGTTTAAGGAAAGGTTTACCTTGAGGCAGACAGTACTGGCCTTTTCAGAGTGGTCTCTGGTATAACTGTGCTCATTGGTTTTCAATTTATTTGTTATATTGCTTCAAGGTCAGTTTTTCAACTTATTATTTGTTATTGTGTGTCCTTTTCCAAACATGAAAGAACAAAAGTATGCCATTTGTTTCAAGTTAGGAAGTCTAAAATTATAAACTTGCTTTTTTATACAAAGTACCCTGAGGAGACTGCTGTATATTAATCCCCCCCCTTTTTTTTCCTCTTGATAGATGCCATCTCTTTTGGTCAACCTTTATATGGAGAAAAGTAACCAATTTAAACTAAAGTCTCTCATAGCTTCATCAAAGGACATGGAGGGGTTCAACCTTTTCTTGAATACCTTAGGGTTTTTTTTAATCAAAAATGCTATATGCATATACACAATAGGAATGAGACTTGGAGGAAAACTGGGAAAAGAAAATGCAATGATACACAATGGGGGAATAGAATAAATGAAGAGGGGAGAAAGGGTCTTAAAATAAGCCTTTAGGTTGCTGAAGAGAGAAGAATTAAAAGCCTCCTAAGAGCAGGCCTGCATGCTGCTGCTGCTGCTGTGTCAGCTGAAAGAAAACAGAGCAGGATGGTGCTTGCCCTGCTCCTTTAGGTATGTGGGTGAAGACACAAATTCCCCTTAAGGAAATGAGTTCTTTACACAAAATTCAACGGATTTAGCTTCAGAAAGTTCCAAACATGCCTCTGTGCTGGCACAAAGCCTATGTTTATAGAATGGGTCAAGAAACTGCTATCTGCATTTCAAAGATTTTTTTTTAAAAAATCAGTACTTAAAAGATTTCTAGGGCAGTCTATAGGTCAGTGAGCAGCAAGGATGGATTACCAGAACATGATAGGCCAGCATAAAATAACCTCATATGAAAAAACAAACAAACTTAAAACCAGCAGATTAAAGCCTATATTCCAAAACAGCCGTGACCTAGAAATTACCTCACGTAAAAGCCAACTGTAACAAGTGTAAGTTCAAGGCATTTTTAAAGGTCAGTACTGTATTGATCGTCGAAGGCTGATCACCGAAGAATTGATGCTTTTGAATTATGGTACTGGAGGAGACTCTTGAGAGTCCCATGGACTGCAAGAAGATCAAATCTATCCATTCTTAAGGAAATCAGCCCTGAGTGCTCACTGGAAGGACAGATCCTGAAGTTGAGGCTCCAATACTTTGGCCACCTCATGAGAAGAGAAGACTCCCTGGAAAAGACCCTGATGTTGGGAAAGATGGAGGGCACAAGGAGAAGGGGACAACAGAGGACGAGATGGTTGGACAGTGTTCTCGAAGCTACAAACATGAGTCTGACGAAACTGCGGGAGGCAGTGGAAGACAGGAGTGCCTGGCGTGCTCTGGTCCATGGGGTCACGAAGAGTCGGACACAACTAAACGACTAAACAACAACTGTATTGATGGACATCTTAAGGTATAGATCTTGGGGCCATGTAGAATCTCTAACAGCGTCAATAAAGCAGGGTCGGCCCAAGACATTTTGGCACCTAAGGTAACCCCCAAAATGGTTCCCCTCTCCCTGTCAGGGAGGAAGGGGTAAGTGAAGCTCTACATCATGAACAAGTGGTACTGGGAAAGAGGATAATTGTGTGATTGTACTCAAGCTGATGTTTATTATTGCTTTTACAAAAAGCTTTCTAAATTTTAAATGAAATGCCAATAGTAGCTTCTGAGGGGCAATTTTACTTGAAACCCTGGCAGGGTAGGAGTTAAAATTCCCTCTCCATTATCTTGAGGCAACTCAGCCTTCCCTGCAGTAGCTATTTACAAAACACATAGTTGCATAAATGTAATCCTACATGTATCTAATTCAGCCCAAGTTACAGTTTCTTAAATTATTGAATAAAGCTAGAATGTAGAATGTAGAATAGTCATTAGAGGGGGCTGATCTTATTCCAGTTCTCATTTAAGGTGACACATGTGCTCTTCTGAGCTGGGTTACAAAAAACAGACTTCACTGTTTTAGTTCACCTATAACCATTCACTCATTTGAAGTTCTTCAAAGGAAAGTTTTCTTTACACAGTTTATAACCTGCACTGACACAGAACCCAAAAGAAACCGTAAATCAGAGCAACTGATAATTTCATAGGAAAGTTCTATAATACAAGACTCAAATAAGCCTCTTTCTCCACTTTCAAATCTGAGCGATTAACTCAGTTGGTCAATCCATCCACACAACATTGACAATGGTCTTAAAGACAATGTTTTTCACTTTGTGTTGTAGTGACTGAGGTATACTGTAGTAGCCAAATAACCTTTGTGCTGTCTCATCTGTAGTCACTTGTCAGCTAGTAATGAGGTCATTAAATAAATTGTCCTCTTAAATCCTACAGAAGTGGCTTAATAAAACAATGACTCAATCCCGAGTTCCATCTGAGTTCAAAAACGTTGCGAGTGCCATTTATTTCACAGGAAAGATCTAGCCCAGTGGTTCCCACAGTGGGTGGTAGTACCTTCTCAGAGGCACTGGGGTTACTTGGCATTCCACTAAGAGAGAAGGGGGCAGGAGGGGAGTAATGGGGTGTCAATGGCTATCAAACTTTGAAAAGCTGGTATCACTGGATCAAGTGAATCAATGTTGTTGAATTTATTAAGCTAAATGGTTTCAACTAGATTTTGAATAAATGTGGCAATTAATTGCTGTTTTAAAAATGGCTATTTGTGTTACCTTAGTGGGTTGGGAAACCTGCTATTCTTAATAATGCTTTTTACAAAATAGAATATGGGGCACCAGGCATGAGTATATGGAACGAAGGTGGTTGTGGCCTGAAAATGTTTGGGAACCACTGATCTAACCCATGGTTTGCATCCCAAGGTATCTGGCACAAGCAGAAAATCACTTCTTCACCTCTCCCGAAACAAATAAAAGTTCCCTAGAAGGCACAGGAATGCTAAATAGGCACAAAGCAGCACAGAAGGAATGAATATGCCCTTAAATTTTAAATCGCCAGGAGGAAAAAGGGAGGTAGCAACAAAAATGCAAAAAGATGACATACAGTGGGGAGGGGAACACACATAAATTTTGCACACATCTGTCAATACTTTGGGTGCTTATGGTGGGAAGGAGCTATAAATGAGTGCGAGTGAGTTAGTAATACCTTTGAGAGAGACATTACACTTTTAGCTAGTTATATTCTGCTATTTCAAGTTTATGTTGCAAAGCCAAACCCGGACAGCCATTGCCAATGCATCTGTGTTGCCTGCAAGGTTATCTGCTACTAATACTACTGCAGAGGGGAGGCTGGTCTAAATACACAAACATTCGTCTCTTCCAAAATTAGTTCACACTGAATTTAAACATACCACAATCAAGGAACAAAAATGTAGATGATTACAAATATGCATGAGCCGTATTGCTTTCCTGCTTCGTACAACTGGTGGTTCTCATGTTCCAAACTTCTGCAACCCATCCAAAGGAAATCACAATTAAATCCCAATGATTTTGCTACAGAAGTGGTAAACCTCCTTCACTGAAATCCACCAGCATTAAAAATATGTTTAATAGTTTGAGAAAATAAAGAAACTGGGGCCAAATGCCAAGCTATACTGGAGATCCATTTCTGGAGCTCTGCAACTATTTTTTCTTTCTAAAGGCACCCATGGGCCCCTCATGTTAGACTGGGGGCACAGTACATGGGACAGTCTAACCATTCCTCTGCTAAGTTATCTAGATAGTCTGCAACCACATTGAGCTGCAGTTAGTCACAGCTTACCTATGGAGGGGGAAACTTGTGGGCTTAAACATTTAGATCACACACACCCCAATCTATATCAGAAGCTGCTTTTTCAAAAAGGAAATCGTTTTGAAAGTTTTAACACCAGAGTTGGTGATGTCTTGCCCTAGAGTTTATTTTTCTGCTTGCTTCTCTGTTTCTTGGTTTGCTATATATTTACTACTACATTCCTAATTTATTTTATTGATTTCAACTATTTGTATGCTGCTTAATCATTGTCATCTCAAAGCAATGTACAGGAGGTCCAGTACAATAACAATAAAAATGAGTTTCAACTATTAAAAAAAAAAAAAAGAGTCTCAATGACCATGCGGCCATGATGGCTACATTCTTATGATTCTTTCACAGAAGTTCAAAATCTGAGTGGAAGCACTTTAAGTAATCTGGCAGATAAATGTGTCCCTTTGCATTGTTATGAACTTCAGTTTCACATTGATATGAATAATGAAATAAAAATGTCACTTATCTATTATAAATTAGATGCTTAAAAAAGAAACTATAAAAGTTTACCTTTCTTGCTTCTTTTACCATCTTCCTAATAGTTTCCTTTATTGTAAAAGGTTGTATTCGAGGGGGATGGAAGAGCAACTCAATATTTGTACCACCATTAATTCCAGGCATTACATAAGGCCAACCCAAATCAAGATTAGGAGCTTCCACATCTGATTCCATCGGCCAATAAGTTCCTGAGGAAGAGGTATCATCAGCAGCATTGTCAGTAGCACAAACTGTGTTTTGAGGGATTTTCTGAACTGTGTTCAGTATATAATTGATTTCATCATCTGCTAGAAACTCTGCACATCTCTCCTTGGAAAGAAATTCTTGGTAAGCCTCTGAACCACTTTCAATTAACACATCAATGGCAAGCCTGTAACATTCCTTGTAGTGCGGTTCAAGGTAGTTGTCTGATCTACAATCATCATGTAAGGATGACAGCAGAGATGAGGTTTCCATTTTCACAGTAATTTAGGAGCAAGGCTTCTTAAATGCCCATTCATGCACTATGGGATGTATCTGAGAACAAAACAGAAACAAACAACAGTCAATAGTGTGTGCAACAATATTTACATTATTTTAAGCACTGTAAAGATATAATATGAAGCCAAGCGAGAGAAAAGACCTCCCTTGTTTTATCATCACATTTCTTTTTCTTTTTAAATGTTTTTATTAGCAATTTCAACATACCAAAATATCAAAACATATCATATTCATTATTTCCTCCCTTCCCCGCCCATCAAACCCTCCCCCGAGACTTTCCTCAGCTCCTCTCTCTGATTTTTCAGCACATATTATTATCTGCTGTTATAAAATTACACAGATCCTTACATTATTTATCTACCACGTTATCAACCAATAAATTTGTGTATGTTTATTCAAAACCTGCCAAGGAGTCCAATTCATTTTCTCTTTTTAAATAATTTATGAAAAGTTCCCATTCTTCCTTAAAGTCACAGTTGTCCTTGTCTCACTGTTTATATGTCAATTTAGCCAGTTCTGCATAGTTCATCAAATTCTCTTGCCACTGTTCTTTTGTCGGGGTTTCCTCATTCTTCCATCCTTGTGCTATTAAGACTCTTGCTGCTGTTGTAGCATACATAAATAAGTTCTTTGTTTTCCTTGGCAGGTCTTGTCCTACAATCCCTAACAAAAATGCTTCTGGTGTGTGTTTTTTTACAAATGTCATTTTAAACATTTTCTTTTTTGCACAGTGACTGAGAGCATATCATGGACAGACTGACCATTTTAGTCTCTCACTGATGGCGCTTTTAACACATGCACATTGCAACCATCATTGTTGTCTTATTACGAGTTTATCATCATTTGATTATAATGTTCATCAAGGCCACTTCACAGATCTAAGTTGGTTCCATTACTGTCCTGTCCAGCCTCATCTCCCATCACCCTAATCACCTGCTTCTTAGAAGACTAGCTTGAAGGCATTCAAACAGTTAGCAATGGCTGCAAGTAATAGTAGATGGCATCCAGTTAATGTCTAGAACTGCAGTGGCACTTGATGCCCGTCTGATGAGGCAGGACACAAAATAGACAAGGTGTTTTAGAAATGGTTAATGGAGACAGAGATACTTTATTACAAGAGAATGGGTAGGATGGCTGGGAACAAGGAGAACTATATTGCCACCTGCGAGTCTGCAGCATGAGCAATTGCCTTCCAGCTACTGACACACCCAGGTCTCATCAAACTTTCCAGACCTCTGCCAGCCTGGTTTGGGGAGTGGTGTGGTCTGAGATGGCAGCGGCTGTCAATCTTAACCTAGAGACTGATAAGGAAGTATAACTGTACCCTTTTGACCCAGTTGTGGCATTTAATGTGGCTGAAATGTGCATGACAGTGTCATGAGACTTCACAGGTATGTTAAGAAACATTTGGTGCAGAGATTCCAGAAAATTAAGACAGGAAGGTGCTTGTCGTTAATCCATGATATTCCCTGTGAAGTCCCTCAGGGTTATTGCTGGTCCCTAAACAATAGATATAGACAGGGCCAGCCAGGACATTTTGCCGTTTGACACCACCAATAAAAGAAGACCAGAGAGCTACAAGTGATATACTCCTCAGTCACCACATCTGCGGCTTGAGGTGACTGACTCATCTTGTCTTATGGGCTGGATTTAAGAGCACCTGAATGTATACTTCTCTGTGATTTTTTCACACTGAACTCAACAGAACTTCTACATAAATTTGCACAGAATAGCATTGTAAAAACCCATCCTTGCCTTCTCCTTTTCAAACACTTTCCACCTCTCATGCCTCCTGCACACAGTTTATAGAAAGGAGATACAACTCATCCACTGCTCCCTAGAACGTGCCCTTGAGTTTACTACATTCCTCTTTCTTTTCCCATGCTGATCTAATCCATTTTCTGCTTGCCTCCACAACAACCCTACATCTCGTCCATGACTAATTAGCAGAGAAACGCTTAAGAACTGCTTTTCTCCCACACCTTGTATCAGACACTGAATCAGCAAAGTGGTTACAGGTATCCACCCTGATTGCTCTCGAAAGCAGCAACATATATCTGTAGCGATATCAAAACTTGTTCATTAAGTCTTGCATTACAAGCAAAAGCCACTCAGTATTGCCACAGGAAGAGATACCAATTAGGGTTCAATGTAAAACCTACATTCATTGCTAATCTTTTATAGAGTTTAAGAAATAGTCTACATTCGTGTGATTTGCCTTTGAAGCAGGGAGAGGAAGTTCTGTTGAACAAGTGCCAACAGGACAACCTTGTTGGCTACAACTTTCTCTATCACTCCACACATAGCCACACCCACATCCACCCCTTATGATGACAATACACTTGATAAATTAATTGCTGAGAAAGAGAAATGCATAGAAAATAACACTGTGCTACATTTGTTACTAAACATATACAAATCGCTGATCATGCTGGTCTCTTTTGATTTATTTCCTGTATAAATCTTGTATATACCTTTCCTCAAAGGAGCTCAAGGTAGTGTACCTGGTTCAGCCTCTCCCCATTTTATCCTCACAACAATCCTGTGAGGTCCGTTTGGCTGAGCTTTTAAATCCTTCTGCTAATGATCTGGCACATTAGTAAATGCATACCTTGGCCATTGGGAATTATCTGATTGGCTAGTCTTGTGCACCCATTGAGAATGAGATCCAGTGCTTGTGGAGGACCAATTAGTTTTGGTAATTTAACAGAGCTGCCATCTTTCAGTGGAATACCAAGATACAGTGGTACCTCGGGTTAAGTACTTAATTTGTTCTGGAGGTCCGTTCTTAATCTGAAACTGTTCTTAACCTGAGGTACCACTTTAGCTAATGGGGTCTCCCGCTGCTGCCGCCGCTCAATTTCTGTTCTCATCCTGAAGCAAAGTTCTTAACCTGAGGTACTATTTCTGGGTTAGCGGAGTCTGTAACCTGAAGCGTCTGTAATCCAAGGTACCACTGTACATGCAGGACACTCTCAAGATAGCACTTCCTTCTACCAACATACAAGTAGCCAAGAAGGACAGCTCAAGTCCAGTAGTCACTGCAGCAACCACTGGCTTAGAACATTTTCCCCGTGAAGCACCCATGGGACCCAAGAGCAAGCTTTGACTGATTCAAATACTAGGAACTGTTTTGCATATATATAACTCAATCTATAATCTTCGTATTCCCATATTGAAAGGCCCCAGCAGAATTCCCTTATGATTCATTCTCTTATGAACCCTCTTGCCCTGAAAGCATCTTCTTAACGACCATCACTTTCCTCCCTTCTGAGATACATGCAGCCTGCAGTCAAAGCCTAGCCAAACCCTACTCATGTAGAGAATCTCTGTACCACTTGATCAAAGGGTCACTCCAAGAAGGGCACAAATAAAACTGTAAAGAAATTCCACAAACCAATAAAAAGCAAATATCCAATAATATATGTGTCTGGGTAGACTTGGCGGAACAAAAATAAATAAAAAAGAGTGTTCAACAGGCACCTAAAACAATATAGCCAGGATTTCTGGCTGATTTAAATTGGTAGGGAGTTCCAGAACATAGCAATAGATTCCTCAGAAATAGACCTTATGTGGGGTACTTGCAGAAGTGCAAGTTCTGCAGGTTGAAGAAACCAAATTGTTACATGCATGGCAAGCTGAGTGCTTAAATACTAAAGACCCTCTTGTAGAAGACATGGGGTAAAGGTATTTTTTATTAATATGCATTGACTGGTTAGAATGATCTGAGCACATTGTATTGTATATGACAATTGCTGCTTTTTTTTTTTTACTTATTACTATAATTATACAGGTTGAGTTTTATTTTAATCAACTGTTTGTTCATTCAGCTTTTGAAATTTATTATTATTATTATTATTTGCTTTTAGCCTTTATATTGTTTGACATCTTGGGTGGGCTAGGTTCAGAATGGCAGTTTATGAAGATAACTCACCCAGGGAAAAGCTTTAGCTGTAGATTTAAGATCTGCATCCCAATTAACTGGAGAGACTAGCAACAAGCTAAGACTTCAGCACTTTCAATTACAGAAGTGCTGGTTTCTGTAAAGGCCACACAAGAAGAGCCACCTCTCTTCTCCCCAAGCCAAATTTGATGGAGTTTAATGATTTTCTCTCTCTTCCGTCTCGTTTTTGTTTTGTTTTTTTACAAAGCTGAGAAATATTTTCTACTTAACATGAAACTCTTCTAAAGTCTCTTCTAGCAATAAAACCCAAAAGCAAATGAAGATATTTCTTCCTCAAAGCCAGTGTCAGCACATATTTTACACTAATGTCATCTTAAAATGTGTTTAGTATTGGGTACTTAATTTCACTGTTGATATATTAAATCAGGCACCCCCAAACTTGGCCCTTCAGATGTTTTTGGGACTACAACTCCCATCATCCCTAGCTAACAGGACCAGTGGTCAGGGATGATGGGAAATGGACCTTGTTTACCTGGCTGTTCCAAGTTGCTTCTAACTGAATAAAACTGGTGCTTTCACTACGGCGTTATGTGGCATGGTTAATTGCTTTATGTTTTAACTTTTTATTATTTAAATTACCCTGAGAGTACCTTTGGCTTTGAAAGACAGTACAAAGATATCTTAAATAAACACAGCCTAACATGGCAGGCACTGTAGTATCACATCATCAGTTTTCTCTGGATTAACTTTCAATTTGTTCACCAGCCACAAAATCTCTAACCACAGTGAGACAGTCCTTTTTCAAAAACAAAATACAAAACATCAAACTGAGAGTTTCTTTTGGTCATTATTCCAGTTCTTCACAGATTCCGTGAGGACACTTGTAGATTAGTTGGAATTTACCTTTTCCCCAATCCTGCTCCCACCTACCAACATGTTTATCTATTAATAATCTGGGAATCACAAGTGGGAATAGTGCTGTTGGACTCAGGTCTTCCCAGCTGGCCTCTCATAGGCATTTATTTGGCCAATGCGAGAACAGGATGCTAGATTGGATGAACCACTGGCCTGATCTAGTAGGCTCTTCTTATGTTCTTGGTCAATGGTGCAATCAACTATAAGAACACTCAGCTCAGTTTAGTACAGATCCATCTACAACCACGAGTAATAATCTGTGCCCCCCCCCCAGGTGCTGCTGGACTCCAAATCTCATCAGCCTCAGCCAACATGGCCAGTGGGTCAAGGATGATGGGAAGCGAGCTTGGCAACATTTGGCAGGCCACAGGTACCCCACCACTGTCCTTAAGAGTGTGCATTTGTAGGAGAGAAGAGCTACTAGTAGTCTTTATGATAGAACTAGGACTGGGCGATATTCTGGTTTTCAACATCACGATATATCACCAGCTAAACATTGTGATATATATCACAATGTCTGAAATACGGATGGAGCTATGTAGAGGCATTGATTGGCTTCATGTTTTTTCTCACATTGTGATTTTTACATAACACACACACACACAAACAAACAAACATCATGAAACCAATTATCATGATATGGGCTTGAAACCAGATTTGGACGATAATATCGCCCAGCTGAAATACACATCATTATTCGCGATGTATTGCCAGGTCCAAAACTCCGAAACCAGTAACACCATATGGACTTCAAACCAGTTTTGGATGATATATTGATATATTACCCAGCCCTAGACAGAACCTAGTGAGAAAGTGTAGGAAAATAGAATTATTACTTTACCCAGGCTGAAAATTCAGATTTAATACCAGTGTGGTTTTTCAGTGGTTAGAGAGAGTGTAACATAGGGCCTAGACAGATGTGCACTGGGTGGAACTAATTTAAATCTCTGCTCAGCCATGAAGCTTGCTAAAGTAATCCTTGGCCAGTTACACACATTCAAGACTATCCTACTTCACAGGGGGAAATGCCACTCTTATCTTATTGGGGGAAAGTTGTGCTATAAGTGTGAGAAGTAAATGTTTCTTACACAGAATACAGTTCTAGCAAACTTAAATTTCACGTCACTTTGGTTTGGTATAGACTCTATAGAGACCATTACTGACATCAAACAGATCCTCAAAAACATCAGCTTATCTATTAGCAATTGAATACACAAATGTTTTAGCTTATGAACAGATCTGTGCAAACCGATGGCTGTATTTTGTGCCTCACACCCCATAATAAGCAATGTGCACAGAATACAAAAAGCAAGCAGATATTAATATAGATGTAAATGAATCGCATTTGTATACGTTTAAGGCAGCAATCCCACACACATTATCTGGTAGGCAGATGTGTTACCCACATTATACTGCATGTGGTTAAAAACTGGGATGTGAAGAAAAATTAATTACATGACAGTTATTAAAATCACTAAATTAAATCCAACAGTTTCCTCATAGATTGGTGTTGGTTATTTATGGATCATTAACTAAATTAGCTGAAGATTCTACTGCCCAAAACAGTATACAGTACAACAAAAATCCAACAAAATCAAGTTATGCTTAGACCCAATCTACCAGTCATTTCTAAGGCACTCATCAGTACAGGCTCCAGAAGTGTCAATAATGAATGAAATGGAAACTACAGAGCACAGCTGCATTATAAAACAGTTCAATAAAAACATTTGCCACCTCTTTGGGTTCTGGGAGGTGTGTGGAACAGCTGGAAGCAACAGCTCATCAGTGGCCTTAGGCAAGTTACTAGGTCTCAGGCTAGTATCCCATCTGCTTTACGGGAATAATAATAATTAAACCCATACACACGCACACACAAATCCTCTATAGAAAATCAAAATGTTAAATTGCAGTGTCTTTTAACTTTTGGCATTGTAGCTGATCCCTGGAAGAAGCTGAACGGAACCAATAAGTACTTTTATAGCTGGATCAATGGTCATAGTAAATAAACTTGGACTTTTTCACAGGGTCAGAGACGAACACCATTGTTTTGATCAGAAAACAAATGTATGCATCCCTGTTAAAACTGATTTACAGCACACCTGTTTTGTTCCAAAACCCACACCTCGGAAAATCCCCTCCTATTCTTCACGAAAGACCAAACAAGAAAAGCAGCAGTTGTAAGTGATCCACACAGATTAGCACGTTCTCAAATCCCCTTCTGAAACATAATACCCCACCCAATTAGGACATTATGAGTCTTGCTAAAACAATGCTTCATTAAGAAACAATAACTGTTCCAGACACTGTTGCACAAGAATGCCATTAATAACACAACAAATAAATGTCTACTAAGACCTACCCACACCTATGGCACTGTTGAGTTAATTACTATATAACACCAATACTAATGTACCACAACTATTAAGTGTTATTTCATCCCTACTGTCTTTCTTCATAATTTGTTATTGAAAAAAGAGAAACAGTTCTTTATAATATAGGTCATTAAAAAATATCTCTAAAACAAAACAAACAGATTAGTAATATCTGTTTAAAGCAGAGGTTTAACTTTTTGAGTCCACGGCTCCCTTGACCAAGTACATTCTTTCTGTGCCCCCCTTGTGGGGCTCAGGAGCCCAGTTATGTCACCCCTTGCATGCAAAGCTGCCAGCCTCTCACCCTTTTTCAGACACCCTCCCTTGTGGAGTGTTTCCTCAGCCTCCTCCCCTCTCCCCTCTCCTTGGGAGACCTTTGGGCAGCTGCTGCTGCTGCCCCTGGTCTCTCAGTTGCCCCCCTTTCACCCCAAAAAGAGGTGCCTTCTCACACTGCCCCACAAGGGCCTGGGACTTGTGTGTCCATTCCCAACAGCAAGGGCTGGCTGGCCTCCCTCGCCTGCTTGCTTCCTTGCTTATTCTGAGGATGCCTCAGCTTCTGGCAACCAGCACCCCCTGACCAGCCCCAGAGGCACCATTCGCCTGGGGAGCTTGGAACCAGGGCTTCTGCAACACACAGTTATGCAAGCCTTTGGCAGACAGAGTTGTGAGAGGGCATCAGAGGAGGGAGGGAAGGAAAGCGGGAATGACACATGCCTGTGTTGCCCGCGGGACCCCTGACCATCATTCAAGGCGCCCCAGGGTGCCACGGCACAGTGTTGAAAACCACTGGTTTAAAGCAAGGAAAGTATCAAAAACTCTGATGCAAAAGACCTACTGCCCTATATTTAAACATGTATATTAATACATTATCTACCATTTATACAAAAAGGGAGAACAAATGTAATCAGATTTTGTTAGAGACAGGTATCCATATACGTTAAAAGCTTAAGATATTATGGCTTCAATTCTAAGGAGACTTGCTTGGGAATAAACACAGTGGATACAGAGGGACTTCTTTATAAACATGCACAAGAACGTGCTGTAAGGCTCCAGTAGGAAGTGGGGCCTACTGAAATCAGCATGACCCACTTCCAAGTAAGCATGCAGAACAGGCTACTGCCTGGTGATCAAGCTGCAAAGACCACTTATAGCAGATGGGAACAAATTCAAAGAAAGAACTGAAATTTAATACGCAACGTTGTTTTATTTGAAGCTTAGGTGTCTAATGGGAATGTATTCTTGAATCAAACTGCTCATGGAGAAGTTGCTCAAGGCATTTGAATTTAATGGAGATCACACTAAGATCACTGTCTTAAACATTTTTTCCCCCACTGAAGCCATATTAACTTACCTTTTGAATCAGGGATTTCATCTCATTAATACATATAGTTCTTTGATATGAATAATAGAAATTCATTGTTAAGGGCTCGATTAGCTACAGGTTAAAAGTGCAAGCAAATATTGTATATGGGAAATATTAAAAGAACCCAGGAGCAGAAAAAGCACAGCACCCAACACTCCCCTAGTTTTTGTGTCTTGTTCAGTGTGGTATAATGTAACACCCAAAAGAGGGTATTTTGGGTACATACTGATGTCCTCCAAACAATTTTTTAAAATTTAAATAAATCAGGCCCTTTTGTATAACCATAACAGTGTCATATTGCCTCGGTTCTCTAGGAGGCACTAGACTTAATTGTACTGGGGTAGAGTCGGGTGGAAAAGAAACAGGATGGAGGTAGAGTTGGGTGTTTCCTGTGGCTGTGTTGTTTTTTGTGTTTGAGAAAAATAACACAGTTCTTGTTTAGCTTCCAGATGACTGTGTCCTCCAAGCATCCATGACATTTGGGACATGTGATTTAAAAGTATGCATGTACATAAATGCCCACGTAAGATGTACAGTCGCCTTGAGAAATGGCTTAAAATGAGGTATGCAAAACATAAGGCACCTTGAGAAAAAATAAGTGGACTGCAAGTTTGAATGAACAGTATGCCTCTCATCAGCCAGCCTTCGTTTTACATTACTGCTATTTTTCTAAAAACTTTAAGGACACCAGCCCCCACCCCCCATTCTAAGCATTCTATTGCTCTACCCATTTGACCTTAAGGGTTTTACTATTGAAGTTAATTTATCCACTATCACGCAATATGAAAACAAATTATTATTATTATTTCTTTCATCTGTATACCGTCCATCATCTGAAGATCCAGGGTGGTTCACAAAATAAAAATACAAAACAAGAACACAAAATCCATAATAAAACAAAAACAAAGCAATAACACCCCCCCCCAAAAAATAGCCCAACACATTTAAGAGGTCATGCAATGTTAATCTGCCAAAGCCTGGTTATAGATGAACAAATGATGTGCTGCAAAATTCGATGGCTGTTAGCATGCTAGCAACCAAGTAAAGATTTTTTGGGTTGATTAATTGTGTGGTTTTTAATTATCTAAACCTCAATAAAAGTGCCTTCGTGAGACTATTGATTTAACAGAGGTTGAACTCTGCGACTAATTCTGCTTCTGCTCCTGTCGTGCGGCTGGTGGATGAATCTGATTTTAAGAGCAAAACAAATGCACTGTAATACCAGTTCCTAAGAATCGCAGGTGGGCAGTGTTATTGCACTCGGGTTGGGCCTGCCTGCTTTCCAAAGACATCTGTTAGGCCATTGTGAGAACAGGATGCTGGACTAGGTGGGCCATTGGCCTCATCCACTGGGCTCTCATTTCTGATGTACAGGTGAGGGTTGCTTTCCACCAGTCCTGTCTTTCTACTAGTACTGCTTGAAAGCTAGACTCAGATGCTGAAAGCAAGCCCACCATGTTTGAATGACTTAATCCCAAGTAGCCTTACAACCTGAATGTACACCATTAACCATGTAGGTTTTGCATTTGCCTTCCAGATCAGTTAAACAAAAAACAAAAAAAGACAAATGTTAGCCTCACAGGTGAAAATAGCCTGGAATTCTTAACCCTATTCTCTTCCACATGAAACACATCAAATATTACTGTGGCACTTGAAACAGGAATGATTTTTATCTGGTGAGAAGGGAGACAACCAAATCACACCAACTCTGCCCTTCCCATCATGTGGTAGCTCTTCACTTTATCCTTACTCCTTGGTCTCTCCAACCATGGGGGCCCAGATGATCTTGGACTATAACTCCAATCTTCCCCAGACAATTTAGCCAATGGTCAGGGATGATGGGAGTTGTAGTACACCAACAGCTGAGAACTTAAGGTTGAAGAACACAGCCCTAGTCAAAACTTTGTTGGATAGCTCTCTTATTTTCCTGTCCTGCCAAGTCCCTCTAAGATATACAACCGGGTGTCCTTTCCTTACAAAGCAACGTCCTTCCCTTTTACAAGACCATTAACTCCAGGGCTTGTGCCGCGTCCGTTATGGGCTGGAGTGAGAAAAGCCTCCTTGGAGTCCTCGGTTTTATTTTCTCCTCACGTCGGAAGAGGAACCACATCCATTTTAAACTAGGAGCCATGAGAATGTCTACACACTTGGGTAAACAAAAAAGCACTAGAAACCGGAGTCAGACCTTTCCCCCCTATCGACAGAAAGAGGGCGTCAGTGGAGAGGAATGTGAGATGACCAGGCGCGCATCGGCTTCTGTTCAAAAAGAGAACGGGAACAAAAAGAGAACTGGTATTTTGGCAAATTGGAAACTCCCTCCGTTGCCTGCCGTGCACCTTCAAGAGAAACTCGCCCAAACTGAGAGGGCGGAGGGGAAGGCTGGAAAAGAAACTCGGGACCACTTACTTTGCTGCGTCCCCGCGCGCTTGGCCGTCCGTCCCCTCGGAAGCTTCGCCTAGCATGGGAATTGGCGCGGAGGCAACTGCGCGCACCGGGGGAAAAGTGGCGAGCTTCAAGTTGCAACACGGCTCCCCTCCTCGCAGGTATTTCCCGTCCTCCTCGCGCTCGCTCTCAGGAGCGTTGTGGGCAGGGATGGGCGTGGAAACCAGTTCCAACATGCTCGAGAAGCGCAAACCCAGCCCTGGCGGCCGCCGCCAAAAAGAAAAGAAAAGAAAAGCAGCAGCAGCAGAAGTGGAGCAAGAGCTTGGTTGAACCCAAAAGACCCAGCCCTTTCCCGAGCAAAGTACATGCCTCCTTTCCATTGTCAGCTCAGCAGCTGCTGCGGCTTCAGAGGGGCGGGTGCTGGAAGGGCGCCGAGGGCAAGAAGGTGGCCTCAGAGGAAGTGGGAGACTTCTTAGGGTCTCACCAGGGCCGTCCCGTCTATAAGGCCCAACGAGGCAGCTGCCTCAGGCGGCGGCCCCCTCCCACAGAGAAGCCAGCTCTCACAAGAATTGGCTTCCATCCAGGCATTCATCTCATTTTTTTAAGGCATCACGATACGTGCCTCCTGCCAGGGTTGCCATATTTCCGGACGTATGGCAACCCTCCTAGTGCCCCCTTCACTGGAGAAGTTCTAGGTTCTGGTCACCTGCAGGTGCTTCTCCTTGTCTCTCTGGTGAGGGTGGGTGGGCAGGAGGCACCTATTGTGGTGCCAGAGAAGTCCTCTACTGCCTCTGCCTCCACAACAACAATTTATTTATACCCCACCCATCTGGCTGGGTTTCCCCAACCACTCTGGGTGGCTCCCAATAGAATATTAAAAACATAACAAACATCAAACATGAAAAACTTCCCTAAACAGGGCTGTCTTCAGATGTCTTCTAAAAGTCAGGTAGTTGTTTCTTTCCTTGACATCTGATGGGAGGGTGTTCCACAGGGTGGGTGCCACTACCGAGAAGGCCCTCTGCCTGCTTCCCTGTAACCTTGCTTCTCACAGGAAGGGAACCACCAGAAGACCCTCGGAGCTGGACCTCAGTGTCCAGGCAGAAAGATGGGGGTGGAGATGCTCCTTGCTACCATAAGAGAAGCGAGGAGAAGCTACTATCACTCCTCCTGTGTTGGTGGTGTCTTCACCGCTGGAAGCTGTGCAACCAGTGCTATTTTTCTATATATAAAAAAGAGATACCAGAACTCACCATGAACTCCTGCCGCCTTCTCTTACAATGGCTATGGCGCCCACCTGAAAGGTGCCAGAACCAAGTTCCTGCGAGTTCCGGCTGAAAAACAAGTCTTGTGCACAGCCTTGGGTTCAGGGGTGAGGGAATGGCAGAGGTGGCAGTTGCCAGGTGAGACAGCACCTTCCTGTTTCGCTTCAGGCGGCAAAATGGGTCAGGCCACCAGTGGTCACTTCAGGGTGATCTGTAAATTCCGCTGGTTTATATCGATTCAGTTCAAATGGTAATTTATTTGCCAATGGCAAAATAAAGTCACCTCTGCTGCTTCATCATCTGGTGTCTCCAAGACTTGTGGTGAAAGAGACTGATAAGAAAGAGTGAGCAAAGTGAATGGTGACTGCACTGCCTGCCTCCTGCCTCTGAGGTGGAGTGAAGACTAACTAGCTGTGAGGGCCCAAATCTCCCAATGGGTTCTCTCACACTAGCAATGGTGCATTTTTCAGTTACAACTAGTGATAAGTTGGCAGTTGTGGGTCCTCTCAAGGCACTGGGGCCTTGGCACTGGCTCATCTGTGAACATGGTTTTGGCAATGATTGCACCAAGCTTGAGTTCTCGTATATTTGCATACAAGAATGAATGAAGTCTCACAAGAATTCTTTCGTGTCTACTAACAATGGAGAAACATGCACAAGTTGTCTTCCCAGGTTATGTTTGTGCTCATGATGCACACATGTAAGTACTGCTCAAAAACCTCTTTCATGTGAAAATCCTGAAATGTGTACACAAAACGTGAAAGTGATTTGCACACCCGGAGTTAAAGTTTATGCAGAAAAAGCCACCTTAGAAAGCACTTTGTTGGTATGTGGATTTTAACTGTCTGAAATTTAGGCTGCCCATATTATTTCTATTTATTAGAGAACTGTAACCACTTGTGGATATTATTATTGTTATTATTATTTCCATTTTACAAAAGGGAAACTGAAGCTGAAAGATAATGACATTCCTAAAACCATATATCAAGGGAAATGGACTCTCAATAGAAGCTTTTATGTTTTGGATTAAGGAAGTCGGAGACACTTCCATCAAACTGATTTATTTTAAAGGACTTCCTTCTTACTCTAGAACAGTAACATTCTACAAGCGTACTTGATGCCTCTCTCACCAGAAAAAGAAGTGAAAGCTAACAATGGGTAGGTGGGGGAATAAGAAGAGGGGGAGGAAATAGGGAAAATATTTAATTTGATTTTTTAAAAAGTTTATTTGGTTGAAGAGTTCAGTAGTTTTGAGGATGTTGAAATGAAAAGCAACTTTCTACTAACAGTCTGATTCTTATGTGAAGAGGAACATTTAATCTATAGCAATCCAATTAAAAACACTAGCACCATTTAATTAAATTAAATGCATATGTAACATTTCCAATGCCAATTTCAGGAAGTGGTGCTTAACAATTCAATGAGCAGGAGGCAAGGCAGTCATTCTCAGGTTTTCAGCTGTGTTACTGGTTTTCTAAGAAGCTTCTAGCAGATGATTTTTTAACAGTTTTAAGGGATGAATATTCAGAATTTGCAGTGGCAGGTAAAAACTATGGATATGCTTCTGAAGGATTTCTGTTTATAAAACCCTTTATGAGATACAGTTTACCTGGTTATCTGATCGACATTCTTCTGCTCTGCTTTAGGAAGGATGGCCAGGACACAAAGGGGTTGTTTATTATTCAACTAGAAGCAGAGTTCTATTATGTTATTTGCTCTACAAAGAGTCTTTCAAAACACAGTGGACTAATAAGCTTACTTTCCTGAACACCTTTTATATTCCATCTCCTACTTTTTCTAATGATATATGTCTTCTCTCTTTGTTCTGTGTTCAGCTTACACGCCACAGAAGATGACACACAAGCCATAAATTACAGTTTCTATGTTTCTTGGTCCATGATGAGCAAACGCTTCTCTTAATTAAAAAACAAGCAAACGAGAATTTGTAACGGTGCACTGCTATGCATTCATTCAGGAGCAAATCCCTTTTAGTTTAGCAAGGCTTCTTCTTGGGAACATGGGTATAAAATTGTAGCCTCAAAGAGAGCAATCCTAGGATATGGTAGAAGTTTGTGTTATCAACAGCTTCAAAAGCCCATTTCACAGTTAGTGAAGGAAACACCAAGCTAAACAGTAACAGTGATGAACAGACCACATTTTAGAGAATGAAGCACATGGCAGAGGCATGACAAACGTGCTTTCGAACTGCTAGGTTGGCAGGAGCTGGGACCGAGCAACAGGACTTCACCCCATTGCGGGGATTCGAACCACCGACCTTCTGATCGGCAAGTCCTAGGCTCTGTGGTTTAACCCACAGCGCCACCTGCGTCCTCAGTTCTAGCATACCATCTATCAAAAGCTCATAATATCAGGGTGTATTGCTATCGGCCAATGTCATCATAAACGTATAGTGGTACAGGCAACTAGAGGTCTCTGCAGGCACAGCATGGCCAATTCCAAAATGGGCACAATACGATCCCTCCATTCTGCTTAAACTCTAGGCTAGGAGGTCACAATTAGTAGTCTCTTTCAGATCAGTTTTGTATGGGAACGTTCTTATTCTAGCAGTTATCCTTTGATAGAAAATGTTGTTTCCTGACCCTTTAGTGCCTCCTGAAATCTTGCACTTTAAGCAGGGTGTGCCCAGGGTATGCCTGGGGATTCAAAGAAATACAAGAATTTAAAGAAAAATAAAAAAATGTGTAAATGGGAAGTGTGATTTGTGAGGTTAGGGCTGTGCACACACTCACAAACTGACACACAGTACCTGATGACATCTAAACATACATAAGAAGCCGTTTTCTCCAACTCAGGAAGCCTTGTTTTTAACTGTCACGCCAAAGTCATATTTGATCTCCCATCTTAAGTTAAATTGGTGTCTGGTGGCCAAACATAGACAAAGATCCCCACCGCCATCTTGGGAACTCTCATACACTGAAATATGCCACAACAAACAGGGCAGGGATTTTTTTTTTTAAAAAAGCCATTCTAAATGAATCACCAAATGTAATATGTGTTAGAAGACATCTGAAGGCAGTCCTGTTTAGGGAAGCTTTTAATGTTTGACAGACTATTGTATTTAAATATTTTGTTAGAAGCCGCCCAGATGGGCGGGGTATAAAATAATTTATTATTATTATTATTAGCTGGGAGCTTGTTACAGAATACTACAAGCGATGACATTTCAATTGGTTTCTAGTTAAATTCAGATATTTTAAACTATATATTGAGTCTGTTGCTTGTGGATGACATCTGTTTTCCCCTCATTTCTTGATATTTTTATTGTTTCTGTAGGGCTTCACTCTTCATTGATGAGATCACTGTGTGCTAGTTTAGGCTAAATATTTTATATGCATATAAGATGGTTGCTTGCCTCCCAGTGAGGTCAGGTTTATATAGGATTGTCATATTTCAAAAAGTAAAATTCCTGACACCCCCAAAACAGTGATTCTGAGCTTTGGGAACTGTTTCCGCTGCTTTTTCCATCATGTTGCCATGGATCTGGGTTTCCCCTGACATTTTGCAGATTCAGCAAAATCCCCCCCCCCCCCGTGCCATTTTTACACCTGAAAACCAGGACATGTCAGGAATTTTCCTGACGTACAGCAAGCCTGCCTAGGTTCAGAATTCGGTGTCATTATCATCATTCAGGACATGGCAGTTTTGTTTGATCTTTTGCAAACAAACCTCTCCAAAGTGTTTTTTTAAACCTTCGTAATTCTGAAACCTCCTTGTATTTAAAAAATGCCTTTAGGCTGCATAAAATTTCATAATCCATTCTTGTTCAGCAGTTGCTGAGAAAGCTGCCTTTTCACTTCTATTTTAAACGCAGTTAATGAAGTTGAAGGTTTCTTCATGTTACATTCAGGGTTGTTTTTCTGCTGTCCTCATAGGTGGCATAATTAGTTTTGCTTGGCTTTCTTTACTTACATATACCTCCTTCTTGACAACACAATATATTGGCCCAGACATGTTTTACTAAATTCCAAACATTTTACAATTCCTTTTTACTTTTGCCTGAAGCTGAGTTAATGAATTTCTATAATGCGTCAGAGAAACGAATTACTCCTCCCATATTCTGAGTATGGATTTGCCATTTATGCTTATTTATTTATTTGGTCAGGCGGACGTAGCTATAGGGGTCTGAAACTGCTAACCCATGGGTAGGCAAACTAAGGCTCGGGGGCCGGATCCAGCACAATCACCTTCTCAATCTGGCCCACGGACAGTCTGGGAATCTGTGTGTTTTTACATGAGTAGAATGTGTGCTTTTATTTAAAATGCATCTCTGGGTTATTTGTGGGGCATAGGAATTCGTTCATTCCCCCCCTCCCAAAATATAGTCCGGCCCCCCACAAGGTCTGAGGGACAGTGGACCGGCCCCCTGCTGGAAAGGTTTGCTGACCCCTGTGCTAATCTATACATGCAACAGTTTGTCTTTCTTAGATACAACATTTACAACCCCATGCATCTGAAGAATAATTCACCATATAGTCAGTTTTTACATACCAAGCATTTATAAAGATGCCTGTACTCCTCATGAAGTTGTTACAGTAAGTGCCACACTTTTAAAATTGGGGGGGGGGGGAGAGAAAGAGGCGCCAGTACTGCATACCCTTGAAGAGCACTGATCAAGATGATCATCAAAGAATCAAAAATGTTAGCACAAAGTTTTTATAACAGAGTTTGAGTTGTACAATCCACAGTGAATAAGGTCAATAGCGATGGATGTCTGATTTTATTGCCTCCCGAAGAAAGAACTAAAATTAATATAATATCATGCATTCAAGCAGGAGTGCCAACTTGAATAAAATATTTGTGGCGGGGGGGGGGAGGTAAGCCCTGCCCTTCCTAGTTGATCACATGATGCAGTGCATGCACACCATTGCAATGGCAATGCCCATCAACTTTAGGCTGGGTGACCCCCTCAAATGTTTTCCGGGGGGGGGGGGCGAAGACCCCTTGGGCCCTAGGAGTTGGTTCCTATGTATTCAAGGATAGCTCAGTCGGTAGAGCATGAGACTTAATCTCATGGTCTTGGCTTCCAGCCCCATGTTGGTTAAAATACCCCGTTGGACAGGGTTGGACTAGACAGCCCTCGTGGTCCAACTCTACAATTCCACCATTTAATTCAATCACTAAAAAAAGCTACAAAGAGACATATGATCTAATTGACATCTGGGACAACAGAAGAACATAATAGCAGTCCTTCTGGATCAGGCCAGTGGCCCAACTAACCCAGTATCCTGTTCTCAGCGGCCAGCCAGATGCCTATGGGAAGCCTGCAAGCAGGACTGGAACATAACAGCACTACCCTCTCCTGTAGTTTCTGGCAACTGGTATTCAGAATCATGCTGCCTGTAACCATGAAGGCAAAGTATAGGTTCTAAAGTCATCCAAGTCGGTGCTTATCATTGCCTCCTGTGCAAATATGTTCCATAATTTATGCCCTCTGTGAATAAGTATTTTCGTTTGTCTGTCCCGAATCTTCCGACATTCAGCTTCCTTGGAGGTGCATTAGCTCCTACTGTTATGAGAGATGGAGGAAAACGTTCTTTTTTCCTGCTATGAATAATTTTGTACCCATCACCACTTACCTTTTCTCCTCCACCAGGGCCAGGGCTTTTTCAGTGACGGCTCCAACCTGGTGGAATGCTCTGTCCCCTAAGACTAGGGCCCTGCAGGACTTGATCTCCTTCCTCAGGGCCTGTAAGACAGAGCTATTCTGCCTGGCCTTCAATTTGAATTAGCCTGATCCTCTGTTCCCTTTTCCCTTTCCTCTTCTATGAAGAAACCCTTTCTGGGACCCCACATTAAAATTCTTATTCACACACCTCCTCTCTGGCCCTAGTAGGACCAACTTGGCCAGTTAGCCCTGGTGATCATTCAGTGTCTACTGACTGGGGTTTTTTTTCTTTCAAAAAATGAGCCCTGAATTTTTGAATTTATTGATATTGATGCTGCATTTTATGTTGTATTCTATGCTGTTTTTAAGTCACATTTTAATCAGTGTTTTATATTTGCTGTTAGCCACCCTGAGCCCGGTTTTTAAACCGGGAAGGGCGGGATGTAAAGTATTTATTTATTTATTTATTTATTTATTTTATTATTATTATTATTATTATTATTATTATTATTATTATTATTAAACTAAAAAGCCCTAAATGATTTAAGTGGCTCAGACTACACAGGAGCACTTTATGAGCCTGTAATGTTTACATTGGTCCTTGGAAAAGGCAAAAAAAGAAAAGAAAAAAAAGATCCTTCGCTGGATCAACATTCTGTTCATTCAGAAAACTATATTGGTATGTTCCACCAGTTATTTAATGCATGGTAAATAAGTGGCCACAGAGAAACAGGATAATAAGTGAAACATAAGATCCAGTTGTTGTTGTTTTTTTAATAACACAGATAAGCAAAGAAACAGACATTTTAAAAGGGGTGTTATACAATGCAGCAGCTACAGTTCTGCTGCAGGGCTTAAACGGCGTTACATCAATAAATCTAGAACACCAAGACCATATGAAAATGTCAAGTTGGTAGAAAGGATTTAAATACCATCCAACTGTATCTTTCAAAACTGCCTGAAAATCGAAGGCCATTAAAATATGCAAGATATAAAATCGACTGAATGAAAAACATGTTGGACTATTCATCTGAAATAAAACAGTAACTTTTCCTAGATTTTTATTAATCTGTAAGCATGAAGATTTTGTATTTTATCGTGGTGGGTTTTTTGGTAAGTTCCCTGGAAGTTTTTCTGAAAGGTGGTACATAAATCCTTTAAATAAATGAGTGAATTCTGGAGAACAACCTTACAGCTGACTTTCAGCTGCCTAGGAAGCTGTGCAAGTGTTACTTCTCCTGTGGAGAAGGAGTGGTGCCACCAGAACATCACTTATGGTGCCAGAAGAACCTTACACACCAGTAAGAAGCTCCACTGCCACCGTGTCCTGCTGGCAATGTTCTGTTGTAAGCAGAGACTGAAATGGTGGCATTATGGATCCAGGACATAGCTGTCAACTTTCCCCCTTTTTTAAGGGAAATTCCCTTATTCCGAATAGGATTCCTCGCAAGAAAAGGGAAAAGTTGATAGCTATGAGCCAGGATCCTGAGGATCCCAAGCCTTTTTGCTCCCCTTATGTGCCTCTGAAAGGGGCCCAGAATCCTGGGTCAAGAGGGCAGTAATATACCTCCCACTGGAAGGATATTTTTTTTTAAACAGGAAAACCTTCTACTTCACCTCATACATCAGCCACAGCTATTTCCATTGGGAGATGGCAAGTACGCCATAGGGTCGCCTCCCCAAAGACTATTGTCCTCCTGGTTGATTAGCAAGGCAATCATTTAACAACCAATGTCATGAAGTTTTGGATAGATTATGAATCAGTAATAAAGTCCCATTGGAATGTGAAATCAAAGGAGAACCTATACAAAGGGAAGCTATTAGAATGATCACAAGGCTTATTTGAGGTAACATTGTTTGATTGGAGCAAAAATAGGTAGATAGCTGTAACTGCATTGCATATATTATAAAGTCTTTTGCCCAGCACCTACACTGATAATTCAGTTTTTAAAAAAATACACATAATACACACAAAACTATCGCAAATGCACACTCTATCCTAACTGATAAAATAGTCTTAATAACATATAATTAATGGGTGCTACCTCCTTAATTTGCATTTATATTATTTTAATTTGTTTTTTATAAAGATTAATGCAGGCAAGATGACACATCGGCATAATCTAAGATATTAGACGAATAAGGCGAATACTCTGTACTTATTAACACCCATGCTATATTGTTTCATGTAACAAATGCATGGCACCCACAATTGCTTAACTCATTTTATCTCTTTCATCCCCTTCCTTTTACTGCAGGTGTTGTTGAACTCAGCCCCAGCCGGTATTGGTAATGGTCAGAGATGATGGGAGTGCTCATTCAGCAACATATCTCATATCTACACCATAATTTTAAATTATCCAGCTTCCCCAAAAGAACCCTGGGAACTAGTTTTAAGGGTGCTGGGAATTGTTTCCAAGATTCTTTGGTGCAGGTAATGATTTCGTTCCTTACATCATTTCCTTATATATATTTCCTTATATAAAAAACATGAGTTCTGTTTTTAAACAAATGGTGGTATTTAACTATAAGATAAGTGAACATGTAATGGAAGGAAATCAGTAATTTAATTTCCCAGTCTATTTAGCACACAATGGAATAAAGTGGACTGTCTTATAAACAGGAAACTTTCAATGAAAGGCACAGGAACCCCTCAAAGCCTCAGGGGCATTTTGCCTGCTATTACTGGAGATAAATGTTCTGCAACTGCTTTTTTTAAAATGACACCAATTTGGGAATAAATTAGTAACAACTTGCATATTTGTTTTCTAAAATGTGGGTTTTATCTAGATTTCCATAATTTTGTAATGACTACATGTGTTTGAAGTCTGTTGATGTCACTGCCATTTCCTTGTGAATATTTCATGTAAACTACCGCTGATCAGGACCAGGGGGAGGGGAGAGTCAAAGTCCCCTAACTCCACAGTAGTATTTTGATCTTGATAGGTAGCTAACACACCATCTCATTGGGCCCTGAATCAGGATGATTATGAGAGTGACACAAATCATATGTTGTTTTCTCAGCATAAAAAAAGTGAGGAAAGAGATAATATCTGACTTCAGGCCAAATGTAGAAGCTAATACAAGAGAGGCAACCAGTTCATTGTTTACTTATCCTTGCTCTCCTATGATTGATCTGGAAATGTAGCAGAACATATATTTTTATTTTTAAGAACCACCACTGAAAGACTGTTTCAGATGTATCCTATAAGGCTTTTCTGAGCCACTGGAAATTCAGGTTAACAGAAACACCAGTTGCCTGTTTTCATTTCTGTTTTTATGTAAGCTCAAGCTGTCTTATCTCTATTTTGCAAAATTCTCCTCCTTAGGCAAACAGAGGAAAGTTGATAAATGCAAACATTAACCAGTTTTATGCCAGCTTTATTCTAAACATTCATGTACAGACATGCTTGCTAGTATTATTGGTACTTGTGCGTTGCTGCTTTTTTCATTAAAAAAACTAATGAAAAGCAGAAATTCTTGCCTCACAGTCAGAATCCCAAAGAGAACACGATTCCCTAATTTAGGAGTGATGTTCAAGAAATTCTGTGATGTGAAAGCAACTTTAAAAATATATATATATAACAAGCAGCAACAGAAGTAGTAACAATCAAAAAGAAAATGTGTGGTTACTTCCATCACATACATACTTCTTGTAAATATGATCAAGAAGTAAAGCACAAAAATATTAATTTGGAATGATAAACCAATTGTGATAGTTTGGAGTGATCTATTGCATGATTTCAGCATATTGTATAACATCCGTTCAAAACATTTGAAAAAAGATATGCGGGCTGCAATCCTGTGCCAAATTGCCTGGCCATAAAGCTTATTGAGAGGCCAGCGTGGTGTAGCAGTTGCAGTTTTTGACTAGGATCTGCATAACGCAGGTTCTATTCTTTGCATAGCTATGAAGCTCATTGAATGGCCTTGGGCCAGTCATCATCTGTCCATCCAACTTCACAAAGGTTGACAAAATATTGCGGGGGGAGGGGGGGCTGTAGGATGTAAAGAAAAGTTACAAAAATGAATTTTATTTTATAAAATTACTCTTATTTACCATATATAAAAACTACTGTAAATAGACACAAAAAGCGTTCTTCACCATTTCCAAACCATTAAAAAACCATTCACCATTTCCAAACCATTAAAAAAACACCACCTGAGTTGCTGCAATTGTAAAAGAACAACAGAATTTCCCCAAGACAATAGCCAATTTTCCGTCTTAGTCATTTGAACATGTCTTTCCTGTATTCCTAAATTTTGTCATGGGCTGAAGATGGATTGAGAAACAGGAAGAAAATGTTTGTTTTTAAAAAAACTTGATTATGCAGTTGTTAAAGAAAAACAGAAAATAATTCCTGATCATCTGCTGTTCACATCATTAGATATAGTGTGTCATATTGATTGGATTTTAAATTGCTTCATACTGCCAAG